GGATAAACTGAATTGGCTTTGCATGATTTAAGAAACCAAATATCTGCTCCTAATAACCTAATCTTAGTACTAAACTTACGATAAAGATTCAGTTCCGTTGACCGTGAAGCCATCGAAGATTACAGTTGAGGGTTGGAACCTTTGGTGTTACACAGCAAAATAAAAAACACTAAATCACCACAATACACCAAAACACTTTTACTTTTACACTGAAACACTTTTTTTATTTTTTTATTTTACTTTATTTGTATCGTTTTCATTTATACCGTTTGTGTATTACATATACAGGGTGGTCCGAACTGTATTCCGGAAAAATTTTGGCAGCATATTCTGCAGAGAAAAATAAATAAAAAAGTTCGTATAAGTATGTCCTAAAATGCTTAGTTTCGGAGATACAGGGTGTAGAAGTTCCATTTTTATATCGATTTTTTTCAAATAATGCCCGAAGTAAAGTTAATATTTGGTTTATTGACATGATTTTTATTGACATGATGATTATATTTAGTTTTTTGACATGAGAAATTTGATTTTGAGGTCAATATGACTCCTACTTGTAGAGGGCGCCACCTACATATTTTATAACTTGTTTGAAGGATAATAACTTTTCGTCCGTACCTGTATAAAACAACTGAGTAAAAAAATACATATATATTTACGACGTTTTTTACGTAAAAAAGGTCTCTTGGTAAAAATCGCCAAGAGTAATGGTTCTCGAGATATTTGTAATCGAAATTATCAATACCTGTCGTCATTGACATATAAATTAAACATGGCTCTATATAATTATTAGATTGAAATCATAAATTTGAAATGTTTTTGTACCAAAAATTCAACAGAAACTGTTTTATCATCATTTTTTCGAAGAAAAATTTATCATTAATTTAAAAAAAATAAAAAATTTCCAAATTTATCATTTCAGTCAAATAACTATCTACTCAATATATGTTTATTTTTTGTTAGTAATGACATGTTGACTATTTCCATTCTAAATATCTTGAGAACTGTTGTTCGTAGCGATTTTTACCAAGAGACATCTTTTATGTAAAAAATGACGGAAATGTATATTTTTTTACCCAGTAGTTTTATACAGGTACGGACGAAAAGTTATTACTATTCAAAACAGTTTAAACGCATGTAGTTGGCGCCCCCTGCAAATAGGAGTCATATTAATATCGAAATCAAATTTCTCATGTCAAAATAATACCAGACGCTGATTTTCATGTAAATATAGACGTTACGAAATTATTTGTAAAAAATCGAAATAAAAATGAAACTTCTACACCCTGTATCTCCGAAACTAAGCATTTTAAGACATACATTTATCCGAACTTTTTTACTTAGTTTTATCTCCAGAATATGCTGCCGAAGATTCCGGAAAACAGTTCGGACCACCCTGTATATTATATAACACTTTTTATATAAACAAATCGGGTAATCGCTAATCACAAATCTCTCTTTGGGAACGATTGCAAAAATGGCGTCCGATTACCAATAGGTGATAGTCATCGGAAATTTTCAGGTGCGTTCAGCGCATGTACAGTAATCGATTACTAATCGATGATGTCTGCTGAATGCAGCCAAATATGTCTAAATAGCCTACTAATTTTTATTATTACATTTTATGCAGATTTAAAAGCGACAAAAAAGGAAAAAAGAGAGGATTTGACACCACCGGATTATTGTGATATATGCAAAGTTAAGTTCATATCGCCACAACATACTAAAACTCATTATAACTCCAAGAGGCATAAACATAATATTGAGCTTGAAAATAACCTAAATAGTTTACAACAGGAAGCAGTCGAAGATAAAAGGTCAGTACCTAGTTTACTGTATTATCTAATTTATATCACAAAACATCCCCCTTTAGATTTTTGAATTATATGTCATAAAATGAAAATAAAAGAACCGCCCCCTTGAGTTTGATAGCGCACTAAATTCATGAAATATCGATCCCTATATTTTTTTTTGAATATTAGATATTACAGAAACATTTTTTTAATTGTACCGAAATAGGTAGAATATTAGAATTACATTATATATTAAAAATTACAATAAAAAATTGTAATTTATATATAACATATAATTTAATTTTAATATACCTATTTTGTTACAATAAAAAAAGGTTTATATCAATACTCGATCGAACGTTTATAAAAATAAAACAATTATTGTTGTTATTTTAAATTATGTATTTTACATACCTATAAACTGAAAAAAAAACGTACAAAACAATTGGAATCTTTCCGGGCATTTGGAAAAAAAAACTGCCATTTTTGTTTTCGCAATTAGGAACGCTACACTTCTTCATCGCAGGTTTGCGTTCTCGGTCGGAAAAAGCCATTGTAATTAAATATGAATAATAATAAAAATAAAAAGTACTTGGTAAAATAAATATAAATACACCAGTAATTAATGAGAAAATTGCCAAAATCACACACCGAATGTTCACAAAATACAACGAAATAAAAATATTGACATGCTTAAAAAGAAATGAATATTTGTCAACTTTTTAATGACTAACAGCGCCTCAAGTGTTTGTTCGCACAATATAGCTTTTACTTTCAGTCATTTCCAGAAATTACAGAAAATGTTCTAAAGGGGGATGTTTTTTGTGATTTATATCAAAGTTTTAATTAGTAATTTTGTATAGAGGAAAATATCATTTATTAATAATAAAACTAAATTAATATTAAATTTTTAGTTATTGTTGCTTTGTATGCGGAATTGAATTGAATTCCAAACAGTTATATGATAATCACGTTCAAAACAGTGGTCACAAATCATATTCTTCTGTATTACAAAATAAAAATAGTCATGAAACTATAGTTAATGTCAATAGCAATGATTGTAATATAAGTACCAATAAAGCATCATCAGATTCAATTGCTATTGGACCTGTAGGTAATGTAGAAGTCAACGGAGCAGAATTAGCATTAAAACATCGTATAAATTCATCGAACAACATAGATAAATCTAAATATATTCAAGATAAACAAGAAAAAGTAATGTCAGAATCTGAGCAAGGTACAGTATAATATAACTAAATAGCTTACTAATTTTTATTGCTATTTTTTTATGTAGATCTAGAAGCAACCGTAAAGGAAATAATAGAGGATTTGACACCACCGTATTATTGTTATATATGCAAAGTTAATTTAATGTCGCCATTCGATGCTACATCTCATTATAACTCGAAAAAGCATAAACGTAAAATTGTGGTACACAGAGATGAGATTATAAATAACTTAAAAAGTGAAAAACAGAAAGCAGTGGACGTTAAAAGGTCAGTACATAATAATATGTCACAGTAATATCTAATTTATATCAGATTTTTAATTAGTATTTAAGTATAGGCTTGGTGCATTCTCCGCCGGTCCTGCCACCATCGGAGAATATCGTAAACAACTAGTATAGTCTATAAAATGAATAACTTTGAATTTTGACCGTTATTTTTTACCAACATGGCAAATATAAAATCTCTCTGTCCAAAAAGTTACTGATATTCTTTAAAATGAGTGCCTGAACGAATCAGATAGGTAACTCTTTTTACTTTCGTGAAATAGAAAAGGAAAATAATAAAACAAGTGACAGTTCTTCCTCTTCTTGCAAAAATCAACGCGAAATGTCATAACTGACAAAAGTAAAAATGTCATCAGCCTTTGACATTTCTAAATATCAGACCAACGCCGTCTCTAATAGAATAGCCTCGGGCGAGATTTATGACGTCACGCTAGTTAGATACCGCGGATTAATAAATATGTTGTAGAATACATGGAAAACATAATTATTCCTCGTATTTTTGGTTTGTATTTTAAGAATGATATAGTTTACATGAAATATACATAATATACAGTTAATAAATGTTTTACAATATACAAATAATGAATAGGTACATAAGATAATGGGTAAAATGTAAAATATATTTTTAAATTTTGGGGTTTGAAAATCGATCTAATTTAACAAAAACATTCAATATCTACTAATAGTGATATATTATTATTTCCATTCACAAAATTTATATGTATATTTTGCAAGCATCAATGTTCGAAAAATTATATTTGCAAATAATACAATATCATAGAAAAAGGCGTCAGCGATGTCTATGGAATAAAGATCGCTGTCATTTATTTGTAAAATTATTCTAAAATTTTTGATTTCCTTGGAATTTAGGTTCGGGAAAAACGCTGATTAAGTTTTTATTTGGTTTTCATTATTTTTGTTGGTTTAAAAAACGTTATAGTTAACGTTTATAGCCTTCATCAGTGTTGTGTCATATGAAAAAATATAGTGTCGAATATAATCCAAAAATTACATATACGAGGAACAATTATGTTTTCCATGTATTCTACAACATAATTAATCCGTAGTATCTAACTAGCGTGACGTAATAAATCTCGCTCGGAGGCTGTTCTATTAGAGACGGCATTGCATCAGCATGACCGCAAGTTGCTAACCTAATAAAATTTACACTAGAAAAGCCCGCGAGAACTGTCAAATTCAAAGTTATTCATTTTACAGACTATACTTACAAATACAGCGTTTAAATAGCGAGAATACGAAAAAAGTATTATTTAATTATTCTAATAGTGTTAGGAAGTGTAATTTGTCAAAATTCTATAAATAAAAATAAAAAAGTAAATATTTTGATATCTTCAGAAGGTCTAGCTTGTATTATAATTGATTATTTCAGTTAAAAAAACTTTTTAGATGAGTTCAACTACGGTAGCATAGTTTTAATCACCGGTTTTGCTAGTGGGGCATAATTGGGGCTATTTCGGTTAAAACGAAATTTTTTAAAGGTACATAGTTATAATTTTAGAAGATGTTCAACTAAAATGCTTAGTTGACCTGTTGATTAAAAAAAGTATACCATTAATATTGCAAATTATATTTTATCCTCTCATAGTATATCTCTATTTAATTTTTTGCTTATGTAACAAGCACTTTGCTTACTCACTTGTTTCGTCGAACTGCTTGAATCCATTTTTGCTTTTGATCAAATCGGTGTAAGAAACTGTGAAACTATAAAATGTTGTTTCGGGAGAGTTGAATATCCGGGAAAGTTGAGTTATTGAATGCTATTAACAAGTACTTGTATATGTAAAAATACGATGAAAAGTTATTAATAAAAGTTCTAGGGATTGAAAAACTGCTGATTTATCTCACTACCTAAATGTACAGGGATTGGTAAAAGATTCCTCTCCATATAAAATACCATTTACTCTAAATTAACTTAATTTTTTTGAATAACTTTTAAATCCTTGTTTACCTTTACGCAATTTCATTACTTCCATTTTTAAATTAACATTTCATTCGTTTTATGGGGCTACCCCATAGACAAACAAATAAAAAGAGACTGGCAAATTAAATGGCAAAGAGAGGGACAACGTTCCCGTAGCGCAACTCAGAACGCAAAATTTTGTTCTATTTATGTTGATCTGCGCATTGCGTCTATTGGGCCCACTATCTCATTCTAATATAACAAGAGAGAAAGAAGCAGCCATATAAAACGTAATTTCTAAATAGAAATTAGAACAATCGCTTTTCGTTTTCGTTATCATGACAACCAAGATGACAACATCATGACAATTCGTCATATTTGTTAATTTTTTTTTGGTGATTACCTTTTTTTCTAAACTCTCCATTTTATTGACTTATGATTATGGATAGGGAACAAATTCTTTTGTTCCAGATAGGTATTTGTATTTTGTTACTTATAATTTTAGGTTTTACTATTTTTTTTTTGCTGCAGGAGCCAGTATCATCTATTTTTTTTATATGTATTGGTACCCCTTTCTCTGATAGATATGTTAAAGATACCCGGTAAAATAAAAAGTAAGTAGTTATATTTATCATCTTATTAAGAAAAAAAGTAGAAGTAGTAGTGTCAAAAATATTTCGAACCTCTCTTAACATAACAAATTAATACAATTAATTTTTTTTCATTTTTGGGTAGAGAGTTTATAGCTGGTTTATAGTAACCAGAAACTTTATTAATATACCTATTTTACTTTTGTTTTAGGATTAAAACTGGACTTGAAAATGGTTCAGGATCATGATTCTCGTAAAGTCTTCTTTGCTTGGATATTCACTTTGTTATTGCAATTAGGCAGTTTTTTCGAAAATGAGATTTTTAATGCCCTTTAAAAAAATTGGCCGATCGTTTCCTGCAACAGTCAGTTCTTCTACATTTAAAGTTGGTAGGTGGGTGGAATAAACACTGTTATTTTTTGTTATTATATTATATAGAGTTTTATGTATAAATAAATATGTTTATAAAACAGTACAATTTTTGCTTTTTTTATAATTTCCCTTATAATAGTAGTATTCTTTCATTCTGAAACTGAAAATTTTCACTTAAACTGATTTATTCCCTACACCACGTTCCCTTTACGTGGTATAGGGAATAAATCAGTTTAAGTGAACATTTTCAGTTTCAGATTTTCACATTTTCAATATATTCACGTTCCCTTTACGTGGTATAGGGAATAAATCAGTTTAAGTGAACATTTTCAGTTTCAGAATGAAAGAATACTACTAATAATGGCTAATTAAAATTTCCCCCCAGCCAGAATGTGCAATAATGTCTTACGATACGTTTTATACCTGTCTCTTTCTTTTTCATATAAAGCACACATAATAAAGAAAGACAGCAATAAAGACGTATGTCCTGCCATGGTCCTGCTAATTGGTTTCAAAATTGTTATTCTGAGTTGCGCTACGGGAACGCGGTCCCACTCTTTACCATGAGATTTGTCAGTCTCTTTTTATTTGTTTGTCTATGGGCTATTATACCTTATTGTTAATCTAAGGGGCTACCTTACCCAGAAAGTGTATGCAACTCATTTGGAACCTGATCTTGATAATTTAAAAACCAGAATTAGACAAGTGATTCAAAATATCCCGTTGCAGGAAATACGAAAGGCATATAGGGCATATATTAAAAAAAAGAAGTTCAACGATGCGAAGAGGTTGGTGGAGAAACTTTCGAATATTTTTTTTTAAATTGACAACCTGCCTTTATTATGTATTATTTGTTTTCAACAATATTAATTTAAAAAGAGAAGTAATGAAATTGCGTAAAGGTAAAAAAGGATTTAAAAGTTATTCAAAAAAAATTAAGTTAATTTAGAGTAAATGGTATTTTATATGGAGAGGAATCTTTTACCAATCCCTGTACATTTAGGTAATGAGATAAAATTTGGTAACGTGGTGTAGTATTTCAATGCCTAGAACTTTTATTAATAATTTTTCATCGTATTTTTACATATACAAGTACTTTGTTCTTAGCGTTTTTCATATTTTTTAAACTTTTTAACACTCCGTATATGTATACATTTGTAAAAATAATATGCCTGTTGGTCGTTTAAGCTCAAGCAGGAGTTTTTATGAAGAATAACTTTTTTTCATAAACACACGAATAAAAAAAAATCCCTCTTTGGGAGTCAATCCGTGGACACATTGTATATTGATAATTTCAGATTGTTTCCGCTGAAGCGCTGCGGTCGGAATTTGTTGAAATCAACTGAAATGCACCAAGCCTAATATCGTTCATTAATAAGAAGACTAAAATAATTCTAAATTTGCAGTTATTGTTGCCTTATATGCGATATCCGATTAAATTCCAAAAAATTATATAATTCTCATCTTCAAAGCAATGTTCACCAATTATATGCTTCTATAGAAAAAACTAATTTTGGTCATAAACCTATTATTAATATGAATAGCAATGATTGTAACATAACTGAAGGTAATAACTTCATGTTATTTTTATAAACACAAATAATATAATAATTTCAATGTCTAGGTGAAAATGAAACTACTGCTTGTTATAATGCCAACGAAAAAGAGCCTGTTATAGATGATTTAGAGTGAGTGAAAAATAAATAAATAAGTAATTCAGTAATTAAACAATATATTTACAGGACACAGGAGATTAAACCTATTATAAACAACGAAGAAATGTTAAAAATAAATGATACCAATCAAAAAGAGCCTGTTATAGATATTTTAGAGTTAAATAACCTAAAAAGTGAACAACAAGGTAGGGAGACTACAGGGTCGCTGATATGTATGAGAACGGTCGATTATTAGGTAAAATATATAAGGTACCGCAAGAAGTTAAATACAAAAGTTATAGAGTTTTTAAATGTCTAGTAACTAGTAGTAAATTTAAGTATACAGGGTCGGTCATAAAGTTGTTGCACATTAAAATTTACTTTTTTTAAATGCAACCCCCTGTATATTATTGCATATTTCAATTCTTCCTTCAATTTTAAGTAATATTCGTAATACACATAATGTACCCAAATTCAACCATTTCCGAATTATGAATTTTTGATTATGAAATGTTAAACGAAAATGTAATTTCCAGACTTGATATAATCTCATTTTATCTATATATATAAATCTGACTGTCCTGACTGATACTGACTCATCAACGCCCAGACCAAACCCTTGACCCTAGAAAGCTGAAATTTTGCACAGGGGTTCCTTTTATGATGTTTACGTGAGATAAGAAAGGATTTTTTAAAATTCATCCCCATAAGGGGTAAAAGGGGTGGAATATTACAATATTTTTATTTAAAAAACGGTCAAGTTTCCGAAAAAACGCTTAAACACGTATATTTTATTTTCTTTTTTTTTACATATTTTAAGATTTTTAAAACGTATACAGGGTGTTTCGAAAAATCTGGTCATTGATTAATCACGATCATGCTTAAAGCGCTTGACGTAAAAAGCTAATTTTGGAAAACGGATTGACTTTAGCGTGTAGAGGTTCGATAAGAGGGATTTTTTCCAAAATCGAATTCTAAGGGGTGAAACCACCCCTCAAATATTAGAATATATTTTATTTAAAATCCGGTGAGTTTTTCGGAAAAACTCTTAAACACGTATATTTTATTTTGTTGTTTTACATATTTTAAAATTTTTTAAAAATTTATACAAGGTGTTTCATAAAATAGAACCATTGAGTAATCACGATTCTGCTTAAACTGCTTGATGTTTAAAGCTGATTTTGGCAAACGGATTGACTGTGGGGTGTAGAGGTTCGATAAGGAGGGGTTTCTCGAATCTCAAGTTCCAACAGGGTGAAAACGCCCCTCAAATATTACAATATTTGTTATTTAAAAAACGGTTAGTCTTTCGGGAAAACGCTTGGAGACGTATAATTTATTTTGTTTTTTTACATATTTTGAAATTTTTGTAAAAAATCATACAGGGTGTTCCAAAAAATTAGGTAATTGATTAACCACGATTCTGCTCCAGTTTGTATGTTAATGGAAATTCTTGCTTTGCTTTATCATATCACCATTACAAATTTCAAATGATTAATTCGACGTGAACGAAGTCGCGGGTACATGCTAGTACATCTATAAATGCTAACTTGAAAACTAATGTCAAATATTATTAGGTATCACAGTTTCCGCAGAATGGCATCATTAAATGAAACCGAACACATCGAAATTAATTATATCAAATTGTTTAAGTGATATATTTAAAAGTAAATAACTCGGAAACGGTTGGTTTGAGGTATTACGATTTTTCCTTAGAATTGAAGGAAGAATTGAAATATGCAATAATATACAGGGGGTTCCATTTAAAAAAATGAAATTCTGATGTGCTACGACTTTATGACCGACCCTGTATACTTAAATTTATTACTCGCCAATAGATATTTAAAAACCGTATAACTTTTGTATTTAACTTTTTACTATACCTCGTATATTTTACCTAATAATCAACCTTTCCCATACATTTCAGCGACCCTGTATAAAGGTGCGTCCATACCGGCCGCGCCGCTCCGCGCGAAGTAACACTGTGCATTCGTCAATGCGCTGTGGATCATTGCGCGAGATACTTCCAAATACAAAAATACACTCTTTTCTTGAACAACCTCGTTCTTCAAGAAACATCTGCTCGTCACTGTCCCGTTCAGTTTCATTGTTAAACACCGTCCAAAGCGACTGCGCTAAAACGCGCACGAACCTCGGTTTTCCTTTGATCTACCGACCATCGATGGAACAAGAACGAACGCGCAATGGGTATATCGTTGGCGCGCGTTTCCACTAGTGATGGGTTGTTATTTAACTATCTGTTATTTTATAACAATTATTTAGAAATAACATAACGCAACCGTTACTACTTCTAAAAAATAACAGATATAAAATAACGACACGTAGAGATCGACCATTCGTGAAACGAAGTCGGCGCCGCCACGAAAGTCGATGCTGCTCGAAGCAATTCCAAAAAACAACTAGTATGGATGGAAAAGATGTTATTTCGACAACCATCGATACAGGCGGCGATATACAACGGACAACGGAGTGGGGAATACGCTACGGCGCGGCGAACGTAGCTGCATCGGTCGATGGTCGTGTTGGGCTTGCAACAGCTTAAAATAATAGGATATAAAAGAAGCAGCTTTTTTGAAACAGTTGCGGGCATAACGCCTGGCGGTCGAGATATAACAGGAGTGGGAAAGGAACGCTGCTGCATCGGTCGATTGTCGATGGAGGTTCGAAACAGGTTGGACCTGTTAGGAGCATAACGGGCGGAGGTCGAGATATTATGGCGCTGTATGTTTCAGTACTTACTTATTAAGTTTCAATATTTAGGTATTTATTTATTCTGAAAAATCTTCAGAATAAATACCTAAGTAGAAATTCTCCTTTGCAAATTTTAGTGTAAAATTAATTCAAATTCTAGTGTGTAGTTGGTTTACTTATAAAGAATATACTACACATATTCTTATATTGCTATTTTTTGACCGCAAATGGTAAAATCATAACTAAGAGCCTCTCGCCCGTCCAGTGATATGCACCCTGTACACTGCTACGCAATTCAGGCGGATCAAGGCGCAGGGCGTAGGTAGATCGAAATATATAGGTATAGACGAGTGGCGGCATTTTGGCTTTTTTTATCGCAATTTGTAAACAGCGCTTATTTGTAAACAACCTCCGGTTTTAGAGAGGTATTTTAGATAACAATCGATATTTAGAAATGTTTTGACACCCTGGAAATACTACCACCGAGCACAGCATTGTTGCAACTTGCAACTGCGTTAATACGCCTGGCGGTGACCGCCTCATACTCTTTCAGATGTTTAGCAATAAAATAAAGAAACCTGTTATTTTAAGCTGTTTTTTATAAATAACTATAACAGTTTCAACTGTTATCTAAAAAATAACATTTTTGCCCATCACTAGTTTCCACGTCCACACTGAGTGCAACTGCAACGTTGCAAAATGTTTTGCGCGGCCGGTCTGGACGCACGTTAATATGTCTAATAAATAATCTACTAATTTTTATTATTACATTTTATGTAGATCTAGAAGCGATAGTAAAGGAAAAAAATAGAGGATTTGACACTACCCGATTATTGTTATATATGCAAAAATAATTTAACATCGCCAATTCATTATAACTCGAAGAGGCATAAACGTAATATTGCAGTGTACAGAGATGAGCTTTTAAATAACCTAGAAAGTGAACAAGGTAGGTACACTATAATATATCTAAATAGCCTACTAATTTTTAGTATTCCAGTTTATGTAGATCTAAAAACGATAGTAAATGAAAAAATAGAGAATTTGACACTACCGGATTGCTGTTATATATGCAAAGCTAATTTAATGTCGCCAGGCAATGCCACATCTCATTATAATTCAAAGAAGCATAAAAGTAAAATAGCGCTGTACAGAGATAAGATTGTAAATGACCTAAAAAGTCAACAACGGGAAGCAGTCGAAGTTAAAAGGTCAGTACCTAAGTTTTAATTAGAATTTTTGGATGCTTGTCAGATATAACTCCCTCCGAATTTTGTACTTTTTTTATATCACTCGAAAGCTTACATCGAAACAAGTATTCCAAACCAAATGTGGATCATTCACAATTTAATGAAAAAATAACAACTAATCATTGCTACAACAGGTTACTTTCTATGCGAAAACTCCTCCAAATTTTGTCGGCGTTCCATTCATTTTTTCTTGGGAGGTACATTAAAAAAACTCGTGCTGCTCGTCGTAGGAAGAAATCGCGTTAAGAATAGATTATAAATTATTGTAAAATCAAGAAAAGGCGGTCGTCGGAGGAACGGCTCCTACCCATAGCTAATATTTCTGACTATAACTACAAAGTTGCACGGAAGAGTTTGGACTGCGTTAGTTTCAACATCTTTGGGGTGTTAATCGTATTATGTATCATACAAACGAGAAATAATTTTGGCAACAATGTTTAGGCAGCTTACATGCTTAACAACAAATGCAATGACAGACGGCACTGGCGGCAAGTTTGAATCGAAAGAATAAATCGACCAGGCAAATATTATAATATATATCACCAACTCTATTATCTTTTATTTATGACTTATTAACAAGCATTTCAACATTTTATTAATAGTTCTGTGTGCGCGTACCTTTATACAACTTCACCATAACCTAAAAAATGCACTTTTAATTTATTTTTCAAGAAATTGTGGTTCAGCCGCAATTTTTTTTGCTTACAACTCTTATTTATGTGTGCTTTCGACTGTTTTTGTACAGTACGTCTGCTGGATCTGTGTCTATGAAAGGAATGCGGACAAAAAACATTTAAATAAACAGCAATATATTTTATACGTCGACTTGACGAGTACGTCACCGCAAATCGATCCGCCCACTCATTTTATTGGCTACTTGTAAATTTGTCGAATTTTTATTGATGGGACGCGTCGTCTAATTTTTTACGAAATACATGGAGAGAATATCGTTTCCCCTCTCACGGATACCCCGTAGCTACAGAACGGACAGACGTACTGTATACCTGTAATAAAAAGAGCCTGTTGTATGATGACTTACAGTGAGTGAAATAAATAAATAAGTAATTCATAATTAATCATTAAACAATATATTTACAGGAAAGAAGAGTTTACTCCTGATATAAACAATGGAGAAATGTTGGAAAAAAATAATACCAATCAAAAAGAGCCTGTTATAGAGATTTTAGAGTAATTGAAAAACATATACCTAGTAAAGTAATTTATAATTAATTAAACAATAAATTTACAGCGAAACGGGGATTCAACCTGGTATAGACGATGGAGAAAAGCTGGAAAAAAATAATACCAATCAAAAAGAGCCTGGTATAGATATTTTAGAGTTAAATAACCTAAAAAGTGAACAACAAGGTAGGTACGCTATAACATGTCTAAATTACCTCCAATTTTTGTTATTACATTTTATGTAGATCTAGAAGCGATACTAAAAGAAAAATTAGAGGATTTGACACTACCCAATTATTGTTATATATGCAAAGCTAATTTAATGACACCAGGCAGTGCTACATCGCATTATAACTCGAAGAGGCATAAACGTAATATTGTGGTGTGCAGAGATGAGATTGTAAAAAACCTAAAAAGTGAACAACAGGAAGCAGTCGAAGTTAAAAGGTCAGTACCTAGATTAGATTAGATTCTTAGAGGTGGCTTTCGGCCCGATCCACTGCGACCTTCTCAGATCTATTGTGGTTCTCTTCTGATCCTTAGATTACATTCTCCAGTCCTATCCTTTTCACAAAGTTCAGCAACTTGGAGACTGAACCCTCCATGTAGCTCCCTGGCAATGGCCTATCATTGCCTATTACGGGAACCGCACATTTGCCAGGCTGTCACACCGACATAAAATGTGTTCTGACGTTTCTTCTTCAGATTGGCAGAACCTACACATAGCTTCGTCTGTCAGTCCCATCAGCTTTAGATGCCTATTTAGCTTACAATGCCCTGTTAGTAGACCTACTACAGCTTGACTGTCTTTCTGTCCTTGCTTATCAAGTCTACCGTGAATTTTGGCGAATGTTCTACAATGAACCTTTTCGCCTGTCTCTGCCCTGGTGAGTTTCTCCACCGTTCTAGAGATTTGTTGGCCACCCATCGTTCCGTAGCCATTCTCGTGACCGCCTTTGCAACGCCGCAGAAGGGTTCTGGGCCTATGAATGGCATTGATGAGCCTTGCTTGGCCCTTTGATCGGCCTTTTCGTTACCCTCATGCCCTGGCACCCAGGTCAACGTAACAGTGCTACGTTCGCCAGAAGTATTCAGGGCACGCACACAGTCCCACACTAGTCTACAATTGACCTCCGCGGAGCCGAGTGCCTTTAGCGTCGCTTGGCTGCCTGTGAAGATGGCCACAGAACGATTTGTTCTTTGTTGCCTTATTATTTCTTCTACACAATAGTGGATTGCCATTATTTCTGCCTGGAAAATTGTGACATCCTTAGATAGACTTACGTGGAAGGATCTCCCTTGTTTCGGCCCTACTATCCCAGCTACTACGCCTTCTGACGTTTTTGAGCCGCCTGTATACCAGGTTGCCTCAGCTTGAAGGTCATTACCTAAGTCACTGTATTATCTAATATATATCAAAATTTTAATTAGAGTTTTTGTATACCTGCAGTGAGCAAGAAATAAATAAATAAGTAATTCTTAATTAATCATTAAACAATATATTTACAGGAAAGAAGAGTTGAATCCTGATATAAACAATGGAGAAATGTTGGAAAAAATAATATCAATCAAAAAAGAGCCTGTTATAGAGATTTTAGAGTAATTGAAAAACATATACCTAGTTAAGTAATTTATAATTAATTAAACAATAAATTTACAGCGAAACAGGGATTCAACCTGGTATAGACAATGGAGAAAAGCTGAAAAAAAATAATACCAATCAAAAAGAGCCTGGTATAGATATTTTAGAGTTAAATAACCTAAAAGTGAACAACAAGGTAGGTACGCTATAATATGTCTAAATTACCTCCAATTTTGTTATTACATTTTATGTAGATCTAGAAGCGATACTAAAGAAAAATTAGAGGATTTGACACTACCCAATTATTGTTATATATGCAAAGCTAATTTAATGACACCAGGCAGTGCTACATCGCATTATAACTCGAAGAGGCATAAACGTAATATTGTGGTGTGCAGAGATGAGATTGTAAAAAACCTAAAAAGTGAACAACAGGAAGCAGTCGAAGTTAAAAGGTCAGTACCTAGATTAGATTAGATTCTTAGAGTTGGCTTTCGGCCCGATCCACTGCGACCTTCTCAGATCTATTGTGGTCCTCTTCTGATCCTTAGATTACATTCTCCAGTCCTATCCTTTTCACAAAGTTCAGCAACTTGGAGACTGAACCCTCCATGTAGCTCCCTGGCAATGGCCTATCATTGCCTATTACCGGGAACCGCACATTTGCCAGGCTGTCACACCGACATAAAATGTGTTCTGACGTTTCTTCTTCAGATTGGTAGAACCTACATATAGCTTCGTCTGTCAGTCCCATCAGCTTTAGATGCCTATTTAGCTTACAATGCCCTGTTAGTAGACCTACTACAGCTTGACTGTCTTTCTGTCCTTGCTTATCAAGTATACCGTAAATTTTGGTGAATGTTCTACAATGAACCTTTTCGCCTGTCTCTGCCCTGGTGAGTTTCTCCACCGTTCTAGAGATTTGTTGGCCACCCATCGTTCCGTGGTCATTCTCGTGACCGCCTTTGCAACGCCGCAGAAGGGTTCTGGGCCTATGAATGGCATTGATGAGCCTTGCTTGGCCCTTTCATCTGCCTTTTCGTTACCCTCATGCCCTGGCACGCAGGCCAACGTAACAGTGCTACGTTCGCCCAAAGTATTCAGAGCACGCACACAGTCCCACACTAGTCTAGAATTGACCTCCGCGGAGCCGAGTGCCTTTAGCGCCGCTTGGCTACCTGTGAAGATAGCCACAGAACGATTTGTTCTTTGTTGCCTTATTATTTCTTCTACACAATAGTGGATTGCCATTATTTCTGCCTGGAAAATTGTAACATCCTTAGATAGGCTTACGTGGAAGGATCTCCCTTGTTTCGGCCCTACTATCCCAGCTCCTACGCCTTCTGACGTTTTTGAGCCGCCTGTATACCAGGTTGCCTCAGCTTGGAGGTCAGTACCTAAGTCACTGTATTATCTAATTTATATCAAAATTTTAATTAGAATTTTTGTATACCTGCAGTGAGCAAAAAATAAATAAATAATTCATAATTAATCATTAAACAATATATTTACAGGAAAGAAGAGTTGAATCCTGATATAAACAATGGAGAAATGTTAGAAAAAAATAATATCAGTCAAAACGAGCCTGTTATACAGATTTTAGAGTAATTAAAAACATATATTTAAGTAATTTATAATTAATCAAACAATAAATTTACAGGGAAAGGGGGATTCAACCTGGTATAGGCAATGGAAAAATGTTGAAAAAAATTAATACCAATCAAAAAGAGCCTGTTATCGATATTTTAGAGTTAAATAACCTAAAAAGTGAACAAGGTAGGTACACTATAATCAGGATTGCCAGGCGTCCGGGATTTCCGGAAAAATCCCGGATTTAAGTAAATAGTCTCGGATCCTGAAATGTCATTATAATTTTCCGGGAAAGCCCATATGTTATACCGATTTGGTCATTTTAGAAGGGTGGGCTGGATTTTAACGTGTAAGACAAAGAATAATATAAATCACAGGTTGGCAGACAGAGAGACAAAATCAAAAGCGGCATACAGTGTTGCCGGTTTTTACGTTTGTAGGAAAATTTGTGTAGAAAAAAAACTATTTTAAAAACTTTCACGTATACTACTGAAATGAAGATAATATATCTAAGCTAAATATAATCTATTACATCTGTAGTAAAATGGGTAACTAATTGTGAAAAATATAGATTCCAACCCTAGATAGACAAAATCCGGCAATACCTCATAGAAGAAATGTATCAACCCAACATTTATCTCTTTTTAATACATTTGATTTTCCATTAAGCTGCCTACATCACTGTCTTACACATCAAAATCCTGACCACACTTCTAAAATGACCAAATCGGTATAGTTCACGAAGTAGAAAAAATATACACTTATGCTTAGTAAATTATTCTCTTTATTTATGATATTTTGGTAATTATATATTATTATATATACCTTTGTTTATGTTGTTTGTGCATGTGTCAGTAAACAAGATTTGACTATGATTTATTTTAATTTAGTTTTTACATCCTATTCCCGCAAGTGTGGAATAGGAGAGCTAATATGTAAATGTTTGGAGCGCTGCCGTTTTTTTTTGGTTGCTGTTTCTTGTTCTCGCTTACTTACTATCCCGGAATTTTCAAAATTTTCCTGGAACTTAGCTATGTATAACAATCTGGCGACACCAACTATGTATAATATGTCTAAATAACCTACTATTTTTGTTATTACATTTTATGTAGATTTGGAAGTGATAGTAAAGGAAAAAATAGAGAACTTGACACTACCAGATTATTGTTATATATGCAAAGCTAATTTAATGTCGCTATGCAGTGCTACATCTCATTATAACTCGGATAAGCATAACATTAATATTGCGGTGTACAGAAATGAGATTTTAAATAACCTAAAAAGTGAACAACAAGGTAGGTAAGACTGTTCAGCCATTGTTCACTGTTACGCCATCATTATTTGTCAAATATGAGTTTTAGGGTGTGTCTGAAATCAGTTCATATTGTTTAGAAAATTTTAAGTACTGATATAAGGTCCTGTATTATTGATTGAGCGAGTTCCGTTTTTTTTCCAACTGTAAAATATGTTTCTGAGTTAAATTCTTTTTGCCGTCAGGTTTCCCGGACACTTAAAAAATCAGGACGTGTGGAAACCCTAACAATACAAGGTGTCCCAGAAATAAGTGCAAGTATTTTAACTGGTAGTAGATTTACTACCTTTATACAACTATCAGTTGTAGAATAAATAATAAATAACATAAAATCAGCTCCGTAAAGACTGACAAATCCACAAAATTTCAAATCAAATTCAAATGTGTCAAATGAATCGTCAAACAGAACTGTCAAGGATCCCCACCCTAGAGTGCTTTTATGGTGCTTTTTCCGCCCACCATGCATGAATACATGGATAGCATTATACTCCTTCCTTAGTCTTCTTATTCAAAGGGTTAGCAACTTGCGGCCATGCTGACGCAATGCCATCTCTAATAGAACAGCCTCGGAGCAAGATTTATGACGTCACGCTAGTTTGATACTACGGATTAATAAATATGTTGTAGAATACATGGATAACATAATTATTCTTTGTATTAATATATGATATAGTTTACATGAAATATACATAATATACAGTTAATAAAATACATCACTATTAGTAGATATTGAATGTTTTTTTGTTAAATTAGATCGATTTTAAAACTCCAAAATTTAAAATATATTTTACATTTTACCCATTGTCTTATTTACCTATTCAATATTTGTATATTGTAAAACATTTGCTGCATTTGTATGGTTCATAGTTTATTTGCCAAAGTATTTATTACTATAAATAGGTATATATTGTATTTATTAACTGTATATTTTGTATATTTCATGTAAAGTATATCATTTTTAAAACACAAACCAAAAATACAAGGAATAATTTTGTTTTCCATGTATTCTACAACATATTTATTAATCCGTAATATCTAACTAGCGAGCGTGGCGTCATAAATATCGCTCTCAAGCTGTTCTATTAGAGACGGCATTGATCTGATATTTAGAAATGTCAAAAGCTGATGACATTGTACTTTTGACAATTATGACATTTCGTGTTGATTTTTGCAAGAAGGGGAAGAACTGTCACTTGTTTTATTATTTTCCTTTTCTATTTCACGAAAGTAAAAAGAGTGTATGTGAACGAAACTATCTGTTTCGTTCAGGCACTCAATTTAAAGAATATCAGTAACTTTTTTGACAGAGGGATTTTATATTTGCCATATTGGTAAAAAATAACGGTCAAAATTCAAAGTTATTCATTTTATAGACTATAGTAGCTTAAATTTACCTGAAAGAAAATCCAGAAAAGATCCAGTGGTTCTCAAATTTGAGCAAAAAATCATTTTTTTGGAAATTTTCAAAGTAAAATAACTCGATTATTTTTAGTGATGGGAAAAACCGATTAATTTCAATAATCGAGTACTCGAGTTTCAAGCGATTGCAATAACCGAGTGATCGCTCGAGCAAAATATCACCCGTATTTAAAAATACGGTTTTTCACCCGTCGTCGGTTGTTGTAAGTACTTGTTAACGCCAAGCAGTAAGTTGCGTGCGCAGGGCACATATTCTTTCGGTGATGAATGGCAAGTAGTAAGCGGCGAGCGATTCGCTTGATCGCTTGATTTAGTTTATTTCAAAGCATTGTCGATATAGGTCGTAAAATTTTGTCCCTCAGATACGCAACGGATAAATATATATATACACGGCGTCGTATAAATTTGCTACCTGCAATGTATGTAGAAAATTTGCTCGGCTTTTTATCGAGTATGTCATATTAAAATCGGATTTCAATTTAATTCATTCAAGGATCGCTTGCGTTCGTCGCTTGGTACTCGTCACTTGGTACTCGTCACTTGCATCGCTCGTTCATAATCGAGCGATGTCGGTTATTTCAATAATCGAGTACTCGAGCGAATTTTCGCTCGAGTTATCCCATCACTAGTTATTTTGGACTTATTTGAAAAACGGTAAAGAGAAAAAATGTGTCTTTTGATCGGATCTACCACCACCACCCTTTAAAATACTTGCACTTATTTCTGGGACACCCTGTATATGACGAACGATGGCTGAACATTCTATATACTATAATATGTCTAAATAGCTTACTAATTTTTAAAAAATTCCAGTTTATGTAGATCTCGAAACGATAGTAAAGGAAAAAATAGCCAATTTGACACTACCGGATTATTGTCATGTATGCAAAGCTAATTTAATGTCGCCTGACAGAGCTACAACTCATTATAACTCGAAGAGGCATAGACGTAACATTGCCGCTAAAGATGAAATTCTAAAGATCCTGAAAAGTGAACAACAGGAAGCAGTCGAAGATAAAGGGTCAGTACCTAGGTCGCTGTATTATCTAATTTAGATCAAAGTTTTAATTAGTAATTTTGTAATAGAGGAAAATACCGTTCTATTGGTTCTATATCATTCTATATACTAAAGGCTGGCAAAGGTTAGTTTTGGGTCGAGATTTCCGTATGTAAGAAGAGTACAATGCGTTTATAATGTACCGAACAAAGAGAGAATAGTAAAAACGTTGCCAAACGTATGAAATAAACCGAGAATCTGTGCACATTGCTAAGAGACGTGGAAAAAGATACAGCAGATTCGTCGCGGTCGACCAGGGTCGACCCAATCAGTAATTGGAAATTCTAAAGAAAGGTGTAGATCATGCGTTCAGCTTTACGATTTAATTACGTCTCGTGATATTTCATTTGTTTATTTATTAACGAATTGTTGTAATTTTCTCTATAGCTTGTAAATTTTTAAGTGCAACTTAGAAAAACTTGCACTTTTGGTAAAAATAAGTGGAATTAAGTTGGCGTTCGACAGTGGTCGCGCTATTAGAACTCTGAATTTAAAAATCGATATCTCGAAATCCATTAGAAATAATTGTAGTTTTTTTTTCAAAAACTTTCTTAATATTTCTGCTATATTTTCTTTGCAGTCAGTATGTGAATATCTTTATAAATATAAGAGTTAAACGAAGCTTATCGAATTTTTCTCATATAAACGTAAAAGATCCGAACTTCAAAATAAAAAAAAAAGTTTCAATATCTAAAGTGGTTCTTGAATTATCACGTGTTATGTGTTAAAAAGTTATAAAGTTTAAGTTTTCTCGTTAAAAAAAATATGGACCTCCTAACCATCTATATATATAAATCTGACTGTCCTGACTGATACTGACTCATCAACGCCCAGACCAAACCCTTGACCCTAGAAAGCTGAAATTTTGCACAGGGGTTCCTTTTATGATGTTTACGTAAGATAAGAAAGGATTTTTAAAAATTCATCCCCTAAGGGGGTAAAAAGGGGGGTGGAATATTACAATATTTTTTATTTAAAAACGGTCAAGTTTCCGAAAAACGCTGAAACACGTATATTTTATTTTCTTTTTTTACATATTTTCAGATTTTTAAAAATGTATACAGGGTGTTTCGAAAAATCTGGTCATTGATTAATCACGATCCTGCTTAAAGCGCTTGACGTAAAAAGCTGATTTTTGGAAAACGGATTGACTTTAGGGTGTAGAGGTTCGATAAGAAGGGATTTTTCGAAACTCGAATTCTAAGGGGGTGAAACCGCCCCTCAAATATTAGAATATTTTTATTTAAAAAACGGTCAAGTTTCCGAAAAAAACGCTTGAACACGTATATTTTATTTTCTTTTTTTACATATTTTAAGATTTTTTAAAAATGTATACAGGGTGTTTCGAAAAATTGATTAATTGGTCATTGATTAATCACGATCCTGCTTAAAGCGCTTGACGTAAAAAGCTGATTTTTGGAAAACGGATTGACTTTAGAGTGTAGAGGTTCGATAAGAAGGAATTTTTCGAAACTCGAATTCTAAGGGGGTGAAACCACCCCTCAAATATTAGAATATTTTTTATTTAAAAACCGGTGAGTTTTTCGGAAAAACTCTTAAACATGTATATTTTATTTTGTTGTTTTACATATTTTAAGGTTTTTTAAAATTTATACAGGGTGTTTCATAAAATATAACCATTGAGTAATCACGATTCTACTTAAACTGCTTGACGTTTAAAGCTGATTTTTGGCAAACGGATTGACTGTGGGGTGTAGAGGTTCGATAAAGAGGGGGTTTTCGAATTTCAAATTCCAAGCGGGTGAAAACGACCCACAAATATTACAATATTTGTTTTTAAATACGGCGAGCCTTTCGGGAAAACACTTGGACACGCATAATTGATTTTGTTTTTTTTACATATTTTGAAATTTTTTAAAAATCATACAGGGTGTTCCAAAAAGTTGGGTAATTGATTAATCACGATTCTGCTTAAACTGCTTGACGTAAAAGCTTATTTTTGGCAAATGGATTTTTCGAAAGTCAAATTCCAACGAGATGAAACTACCCCTCAAATATTATACCAAGTTATATAATAATATCGCCATATTGTTTTTTCTCATGCTGACATAAATGTAAGAAAATTTTATCTTAGTTTGTATGTTAATGGAAATTCTTGCTTTGCTTGATCATCACCATTACAAATGATTAATCCGACGCGAACGAAGTCGCGGGTACACACTAGTATCCTTATAATTCCATTTTAGATGCTCAGAAGCATATCTAGATAATGATTTTATATAGTTATCTTTTCGAAAAAAAAGTCTTTTAAAAATAAGCGGTTTTCGATCGTGATTTTACTTTACTTGATAGGAAAAGGCGTACCGGAGAAATGTGGCAACGCCGCAACAGCACACCGTCGCTTTCTCTCACTCCGACTTAATAAAATCCCTATGCGATTTACTTCCACACATGTAAATATCGACCCAAAAGTAAGAGCTGCCAGCACGGTATATATTAATAAAAAAAAACTAAAATAATTTTTAATTTTCAGTTATTGTTGCCTTATATGCAAAATCGAAGTAAATTCCAAAGAGTTATATGAAGCTCATGTTCAAACCTGTATCCACAAATTATATTCTTCTGTAGAAACAAATAATAAGAGTCACAAAACTATTGTTAGTATTAAAAATAATGAATGTAATATAGGTAAAGGTAACAACTTCATGTTATTTTTATAAACGTAAAAAATATAATAATTTCGATGTCTAGGTAAAAATGAAACTGCTGCTTGTTATAATACCAATGAAAGAGAGCTTGTTATAGATGATTTAGAGTGAGTGAAAGATAAATAAGTAATTCATAATTAATAATTAAACAATATATTTACAGGAAACAGGAGATTAATCCTGTTATAAACAATGAAGAAATGTGTGAAAAAATTAATACCAATCAAAAAGAGCCTTCTATAGACGATATTTTCGCGTAAGTAAAAAATATACATTTAAGTAATTTATAATTATTAATTAAACATTTAATTTACAGGGAAGCGTGGATTAAACCAGTTACAAAAAATGGAGAAATATTGGAAAAATTTTACTCCAATCAAAAAGAACCTGTTATAGAGATTTTAGAGTAATTGAAAAAGATATATTTAAGTAATTTATATAATTAATTAAACAATAAAATTACAGGCAAGTGGGGATTAAACCTGGTATAGACAATGTAGAAATGTTGAAAAAAAATAACACCAATTATCAAACAGAGCCAGCTCAATTATATTCTTCTGTAGTAAAAAATAATAATGGCCATGAAATTATAGTTAATATTAATAGCAATGATTCTGATATAAGTAAAGGTGAGAACATCATGTTATTTTCATAAACATAAATAATATAATAATTTCAATGTCTAGGTGAAAATGAAACCACCGATTATTATAATACCAATGGAAAAGAGCCTGTTATAGATGATTTAGAGTGAGTGAAAAATAAATAAATAAATAAACATAATTAATAATTAAACAATATATTTACAGGACACAGGAGATTAATCCTGTTATAAACACTGAAGAAATGTGGGAAAAAAATAATACCAATCAAAAAGAGCCTGTTATCGATATTTTAGAGTTAAACAACCTAAAAAGTGAACAACAAGGTAGGTACCACAGATTATACAGATTATAATCTTTGTTTTTTCTTTATTGTTTTTCGTGGTTCCAATTTTCGGAATCGGGCACTAGTTAGGTGACTAGTTTGCGCACATAGCACGCCCACTTATGGCCTCTAAAAATTGTGCACAGCGCCTGACCGGCACAGTTATTAGAGAGATATCGGAAAACCGAATAGCGTCATCCAGTATTTACGCGTACCTTATCATGGTTACGATATGCGCGAGTCAACGCAACACCCGCTAATAACGTTACCGCCTGACGTAATTTGCGGATCAATTACACCAAGCGCTCTTCTAAATAACCTCTGATAACGTTTAAAAATTGCTTAAATGGGCATGTGCGGGTATTTGACAACCGGAGCCGGCCGGCGATATCTTTTATTTTAGGTTATGTTTGAATTGTTTTGAATTATTGCTTTAGTTTTATTAGGTAATTTGATATTTAAGTAGCTGGGATTAGTTTTAGTTAAATAAATATAGGCCAAAATATGGATTCCACCTCTTCCAATACTAAAGAACCTATAAAGAGTCATAGGTTTACAGCAGATGACGACTTAGCCCTTCTAAGAGAATTTGTTGTTTGTTGCTTGTTGCCCTAAACCCACTGGCAGACGTTGAACAATAAAGCACTGGAAATAAGCACTTTAGTTTTAAAATACCTAGTAAACAAAACAATTTGAAAGTTTTAAATTCAAAGTTAGGTTAAGTATAAATAGCGGACGCGACGCAGAATTCTTTCCGATCCGATAACTATAAATGAAGAGAGTTAATACCACCTCACGTAAAGGAAATAACACCTGGCCTTATTAACGTCCATGCATGCTATTCGGTTTAGCGATATCTCTCTATTACGCTGTTTATTGTTATTTTACGCGAGTTTATTTTTGCGCACAGGAAATTTGACTCGTTTGCACATCGTCATAAAAAACAATTTTCGTACCACGAATTAGGGACAAGATTTTTATCTGTATATTTATGGGATACCTAATCTCTGTAGGTACGCTATAATTAGGGTTGCCAGGCGTCAGGGCTTTTCATGAAAATCTCCGATTTAAGTAAGTAGTCCCAGATCCTATAATTTCATTATATTTTCCTAGAAAGCGCCAATCAAAATTTTAAATCCATATGTTCAAAAAGTAAAAATATAGTTCAAAAAGTAAAAAAATACACTTGTAACGACCTCCCGAGCTGTCACAGGTTCCCAAATACGGTTAACAAGCCGACAACGCCGCCCGAGCAGGCAGTCTGCGAAGGTCTTTACGTGACATTGAACGCCCGGTTATTTTTAATCGTTTTATTGTTGTTTTCTAAGAATTTTCGTCATTAAAGTAGTTGTAACTTTCACGTGAATGTGGATTATTTAACCAGCAACCCAAAATCCCCAACCGGAATCTTACACATTCTTATATCCACCATCACATTTTTCGATATAGCTTCATTCGTTTTTACATACATACATACTGCCATTACTCGCTGACGAGTATGTGACACGCATCAGAAGATGGTTACGCAAGGCATTTTCTTTTATGAGCTTTTCTGTGACTGAAAAGCCCGATACGTGATGTTATCTCTCTACCGCCCTCCGGACATTTAAAAATCTCATTGCTTTGTTGCCTCTTTACTTTTTGGGTGTCGCTGTTAACTGAGTTTACAATTCTTCTTCACTGCTTTCTGTTGTGCCTGCTTCTTCCCACTCATTCTGCATGTTTATCCCCTTTATGTTTTCGTGGAGAATATCCTTGTATCTTTTGAGTTGTCCACCCGGCCTCCTCTTACCGTCTACAAACTCACCGTAAAGCAGAGATTTTTTCAGAGAGGCGGTTTTCTTGCATTCTGTATGGTGTACAGTAGGTGACCAGCCCATCCTAAGCGACATTTTGTAATCACGACTTCAATGCTCTTGCACCTTTCTTTTTCAAGGACCGATACGTTTGAAACATGGTGGAACCATTTGATTCTTAAGAGTGTCTCTGTTGCAACTTGTTTAATGCATTCATTATGTCGGCACATCATACGGCACCCAGGTTTCGCTTCCATATTGTAGCGTTTTTTAAACAACTACCACTGCGAACGGCAGCTTTTCATCGGAGAGCAGTCGTGGGTAAGGTATTTCACTGGAAAGAAAACTAATTAATAACAATAAACAAAAAATAGATATTGGGCGCCAGGCATGTACAGAGAAAGAAAACACAGTTGTATATTACTTACAACTAATGACTATATTTATTCATGATGAATTCTGATTGTAAATAGCATTGTACAATTTTAATAATTATTATAGTGGTTATTTGTTGAGTAAAATTATGTATGTAAATAATATTAAATATGTTCTATGAAAAGACTATGAAAAATACAATGCGTGTAACGTTATAGAAAATATAAGAAAAGTAGCATTACTTTATTTAAATTGTTAAATTTTATGCGGTGTTAAATCTGATGTGTTGCAACCTGTAGATTCTAGAATCTATGTCTCGTTATTCATCTGTTAATATAGCAATAATAATATCTATAGAAAGTAATACTATTACAAGGCGTAATATAATGAAACCTAAAATCTAAATCACATTGTAACTACTGAATCGACATAAATGTTCTTAATAATCTAACCACTAAATATAGTCTGTACGATATTATTTAAAATGTACGTTACTGTTTAAGACTGAAAATATTTTAGATGTTAAATGTAAAACTAGAACTTAAATATACACTTAGCTGTTCTTTTATGTAACCTTGCTTCAAACAGTAGCAGCGTGAGGTGGTCTAGCATCTCTGTACTGTCTGTCGGCGATCCTGTTGGTCAAAACAACAAAAGGGGCCAGATTGAGGACACCATGAATCCTTACAGCCGTAGCTACTGACTATGCTTAGAAATGGGAGTGAAGCAGCATGGGACTCAAGCTACATCCACGCTGTGGCACTTAGATGTAAGAAAAAATCGTTCTTACTGGGGACACTCGTCCACAGGACATCCGTACATAAGATAATGTCTGTACATAAGGCACTACCCGTACCTTGGACACAGTCCGTACCTTGGACACAGTCCGTACCTTGGAAATAGTCCGTACCTTGGACCCTAAAAATATGAAACTCTTGTTTAAAACCAAACAAGGTCTAATAAACAAAATAAACCTACCTCGAAATACTTCCGAGGGCTCAATAAATAATAAACAACATGTCCTTTCTTCCATGTGACATTCTGGAGGACAAAAGAAAAGGGACGCCAACGTGCCAACAAAACACAAATACAAGTTGGGACATCCGTAACTCTACCCTAAAAATATTCAATAATAATATCGAATCTATAAGGATAATATTTCATCTTTACCTGTTGCTTTGAAATAGCAGCTGATTATACAGCAAGATTTAAATAATCACCATTTCTAAAAGCTGGGATACAACAGAGCGTCAAAACAAAGTGAGGTTAAGCACGGAGAGAGTTGACAGAAGCGATGTTGACAGCGCCTCCTGAGGATAGTAACAGGGTTGTATCGAACGATAACAGGGTTTGCGACTAGGGAACGTAAAAATTACGCGTCAAATAAACTATCCGGCCTGAACAAGAGGGAATCCGGTGATGATAGGCCAGACATCATATATTATATATAAAAAAGACATGTAACGAACTAAAAACGTTACAATATGGTGGGGATTATCACAGGCCGACATGATTTTTGTAACACGAGTCAGTTGCAGAATTTCTTCATAAAAATATGCTTCTAATAACAGAAAAAATACTCCTGAAGCTCCTACACGTACCACTTTTCAGTTGCCTAATTACGCCTCTTTTTTGCAGGTAGTCAATTTTATAGATGTCAGGTATTAAGTCTAGGTAGATTCGTTTACATACAGGTAAATTTTATGATGGGATGATTGAAAGGGACGCATTTTGTGCACTATAATATATTGTAAAAAACATAAGAGAGTTCAGTTTTCAGTTGATTTTCGACGTGAGTTGTTCTATGCGTGTAGATAAATAGTACGAAAATGTCAAGTCAAACGCGCCGCAGTTGTAAAGTGTCTCCTGGTCGATTTTGTTACATTTGTGGAGAATTTATGGTGCAATCACAAAGCCAGACCATTTTCTGAAAATGTGAAGAAAGCCTACTTCAAGTATTTTGGAGTTTTGGTTGGAGATCAAGACAAGCAGTGGGCTCCTCATGTGTGCTGCGTTACTTGTAGCGTGTCGCTTGTGCAGTGGATGAAAGGGGAAGAGGAAAAAATGCCATTTGCGGTTCCAATGGTATATGGCGAGAACCAACTAACCATTTTGACGATTGCTATTTTTGCCTGACGAAAACTGAAGGTTTTTCCAAAAAACAAAAGCACAAGATCGAGTATCCCAATTTGCCGTCTGCCATACGACCTGTTCTTCATGGTGCAGATCTCCCAGTGCCGATCGCGCCCTTAGACTGGCAAGGTATTGTTTTGGAAGATAAGGAAGATATTGAATCAAACAGCTCTGGAGACCAGTGTACTGATCCTACCTTTACCCCAGAGGGCGGTTCCGACAAGCCACATTTGATTGTTCAAAGCGAGTTGAATGACTTAGTGCGTGACTTGGGGTTATCAAAGCAGCAGTCAGAACTTCTTGGATCCCGGCTTAGGAATGGAATCTGTTAGCCAATGAAACAAAATCACCACTTTTAGAAAAAGAAATGCTCCGTTCTCTGCATTCTACAGTATGGAGGATTCGTTGTGTGCATGTACTGATATCGATGGCTTAATGCAGGAACTTTCTATAGAACATTCTCCTGTGAGTGGCGCTTATTCATAGATTCGTCGAAATATAGCCTAAAAGCTGTGTTATTGCATAACGGAAATTTAAAACCCTCTATACCAGTTGCCCATTCAGTGACAATGAAGGAAACTTATGAAAATATGCGCATGCTTTTAGATAGAATCAACTACAACAGGTATAAATGGCAGATATGTGGGGACTTGAAAGTTATAGGAATTTTAGTGGGACTTCAGGGAGGATTTACAAAATATTGCTGTTTTCTTTGTTTGTGGGACAGTCGTGCAGTAAATCATCATTATGTACAGAAAATTTGGCCAGAAAGAAGTGAGTCAAGTATATCCCTCTTGTAGACCCCAAAGACGTCCTCCTGCCTCCTCTTCATATCAAACTTGGCCTCATGAAAAACTTCGTGAAAGCTATGAATAAAGAAGGTGATGGATTTAAATACCTAAGGCAAGTCTTTCCCCAGTTGAGTGATGCCAAATTGAAAGAGGGTATTTTATTGGACCACAAATCAGGAAATTGTTGGACGACACAAATTTCACAGACACGCTTACCAGGCAGGAACTCAGAGCATGGACCTCATTTGTTAGTGTAGTGAGGGGATTTTGGGGAAACAATAAGGATGCGAACTACGAACAATTGGTTAATGAGCTTTTAGATGCTTATAAATCGCTTGGTGCCCGAATGTCTTTAAAAATTCACTTTCTCCATTCTCATTTGTCATTTTCCCTGAAAATATGGGTGCTGTCAGTGATGAGCAAGGTGAGAGATTCCATCAAGACATAAGGACAATGGAAATTCGTTATCAAGGACGATGGGATCCAGCCATGATGGGTGATTACTGTTGGTTTTGAAGAGAGAAGACGCGGTCCCTCATAAAAGGAAAAAGTAAAAGTTTTTGTTTATGTTTTGATCTCGTTTCGATTGTTTTTGTACTTTTAGGTATAAGTAATGTTTGAGGAGTGTAAACTATAAAATATAATCGGTATATAGGCTTAAGAAGTTCTTAAATCATGTTTTGAATAGCTATCTTAATATATTGAATATTGTAATATTGAATGATGTTTTATTAATGTAACAAAAAAACCTTACGTGTTACGACTTTTTTTTTGCCACTTTCGTGATTAGATAGGTTCATTCTACCACAATATCCTATTGAGCTTTGTGTTACATCGAAAAATTTTTTTTTTGTCGGCCTGTGTTATTATTGCTCGGTACACTGCAAGTTTCGTTTTTGTGCTCTAGTCATGATTGTAGAAAACTCTGTCTTTTAATTTCCAGAATGCTCTTGAGACCCTGCTAATCCTGTGCTGAATTGTAGAGTCGATATTGGCCTTTTCCGAAATCAAACTGCCGAGGCAATTGAATTCCGCTATAGGCTTGGTGTATTCTCCGCCGGTGCTGCCACCATCGGAGAATATCGTAAACAACTCGTACTTACAAATACACGAGTTTAAATAGCGAGAATACGAAAAATGTATTATTTAATTATTCTAAAAGTGCTAGGAAGTATAATTTGTGAAAATTCTAAAAATGAAAATAAAAAAGTAAATATTTTGATATCTTCAGAAGGTCTAACTTGTATTATAATTTATTATTCCAGTTAAAAAAACTTTTTAGATGAACTACCGTAACGAGCATAGTTTTAATCACCGGTTTGGCTAGGTTAGGTTAGGTTAAATTTTATGACCCATAATTGGGTCTTTTAAAAAGCGGCTCACCCCTATAACTTTTTAATTTTTTTTAGTTAAAAAAACGAGATTTGGTATGTTAGTGTATGACATAAATTAGGATTGATTGACGCATTCAATTTTTTTGGGTCACTTCCGGTTTCACCGGAAATGACTACAACTTTTGATTTTTAAATGACACCCCGGAATTTTTTTTACTTGATTCGATAGAAAATTTCACTCTGAATAGAATGACTTTTGATATTTTCGCATGTGGTTTATTTGAAATTATAACTTGCGGTTCGTAACGAAAATTTGACTCGAAATACCAAGTGTGTGGTATCAAATTATTCGTAAAAAATGCTTTTTCCAAATATGCTAATGAGCCACCTTCGTTCCATTTGAAAAAATTGAGAAATTATTAAAAATACGATTTGGGCATTTTCTATCTGGCCAGGATAAGACACTAAAAACATTAGACGATCAAATATATTTTTCCAAGGCTCCTTGATGAAGAATTAGTATCTTTAACATAGCCATGGCACTCTGGATTGAATTTTAAAATACAATTTTTTATTAAGCGAGAATGTCAAAAGTTGACACATGATATGTCATACTATTCAGAATGTCATTTTCTATGGAATAAACATAGATAAAAGACTTATACTATTAAATAGATAGGCAACTTATAATACATTTCAATTTTATTATACAAGGGCGCCTCTGGTAGATGGAGGAAGAAACACTAATGGAAGAGAGGGGTGCGGGGAAGGGGGGTTGTTTTAGTTAATTTAAAATAAATTTAGACATACATGTAAGAACACTTTGTGTGCTTTTAATTAGGTCGATCATATTATAAACGATAAATCAACTGAATTAAAAGCATACAAAGTGTTCTTATATGTCGGATATTAATTAAAAAATATATTAAAAATACTAGAAATAGCATATATTAAGTTGTTACAGTTATAATTTAATCTTTGGCGGTTTTCAGCAAATAGCAGGCAGTTTTACATAATTTTCCTCCCTTTGAAGTGAATTGGAAACGGCTAGGTATATAATTTTGGTGTAGGCAAGATTCCCAGTTTGTTTCTGTTTGGGACCTGAAATAATAAAAACAAATTAAATCAGATGTAATCATCTGCTGATCATGCTAATATAAAACGCGCGTCCTTAATTCCTTACATGCACCGTAAAAAAATTTAAATAACTGCTCTGCAAGTAGCATTTATTAGCAGTACTAATTTAAAAAATCTATAACTGTAAGTAGATATGTTTAATTTACTTACCATTGTATCCTTCGGAAACCAGGAGTACAACAATTAAACTCCATGATAAAAAATAATTAAAAGTTATTACAAAACACAAATTGTCCCACCATTTTTAAAAAACATTGTCTAAAACAGAATACTGGCAAAAAATCTGAAGGAATTTAATTTTACAATAATTCGACAAATCAAAACGAAATCAAACCGTAAAATCACAACAAAAGCGTCTCTGAGTGACAGTTAAAAATCAAATTTTATTATTGTCAGATATTGACATTTGCATTGTTAATATTGACAGTTTTAATATTTTGCGCCTCTGCATCTTGGAGGAAAAACTATTTTTAATGAACTGTCATTTCCATTTAAGTTTCCCAGCCATGGGAATAAAGTAAAAGAATACCGAGGGTGCCATTTAAAAATCAAAAGTTGTAGTCATTTCCGGTGAAACAGGACGTAACCAAAAACAATTGAATACACTAATCAATCCTAATTTATGTCATATACTAAATACCAAATCTCGTTTTTTTATCTGAAAAAATAAAAAAGTTATAGGGGGTGAGCCATTTTTCAGACGCACCCGGTATATTCCAATAGTTCTTCTCCGATTTTTATAGCATTGTTGTGATCCAAGTGCATATGATTTTAGTTTTATCAATGTTCAGCTTAAGGCCCAAAGCCTCGTATACCCAGGTATAATATGTGTTCAACATTGCAATTACAAGAAATGTTGAAATGTTATGTTGTTTGTGCGTGTGTCAATAAACAAGATTTGACTATGATTTATTTTAATTTAGTTTTTATACCCTATTCCCGCAAGTGTGGAATAGGGAAGAGGTGCTGAGATGTAATTGTTTCGAGCGCTGCCGGTTTTTTTTTGGTCGCTGTTTCTTGTCCTCGCTTACTATCCCGGAATTTTTAAAATTTTCCAGGAACTTAGCTATAACAATCTGGCAACCCTAAATATAACATGTCTAAATAACCTACTATTTTTGTTATTACATTATTTTATGTAGATTTAGAAGCGATAGTAAAGAAAAAAATAGAGAATTTGACACTACCGCATTATTGTCATATATGCGAAACCAAGTTAATGACGCCAGACCGAGCTACATCTCATTATGAATCAAGAAGGCATGAACTCCATATTGCGGCACACAGAAATAAGATTTTCTATAACCTAAAAAGTGAACAACAGGAAGCAGTGGAAGGTAAAAGGTCAGTACCTAGGTCGCTGTATTATCTAATTTATATCAAACGTTTAATTAAGTATAGAGAAAAAATTGTTCATTAAAAAGAAGACGAAAATAATTTTAAATTTTCAGTTATTGCTGCCTTGTATGCGACATAGAATTAAATTCCAAAGAGTTATACGAAACTCATATTGAAAGCTGTCTCCACGAATCATATGCTTCTCTAGTAAAAAGTAATAATGGTCATGGATCTATTGTTAATATTAATAGCAATGATTGTAATATAAGTAAAGGTAACAATATCATGGTTTTTTTATAAACATAATTAATATAATAATTTCAATGTCTAGGTGAAAATGTAACCGCTGCTTGTTACAATACCAATGAAAACGAGCCTGTTATAGATGATTTAGAGTGAGTGAAAAATAAATAAATAAGTAATTCATAATTAAAAATTAAACAATATATTTACAGGAAACAGGAGATTAATCCTGGTATCAACAATGGAGAAATTTTGGAAAAAAATACCACTAATCAAAAAGAGTCTGTTAAAGATATTTTAGAGTAAGTAAAAAATATATATTTAAGTAATTTATAATTAATTAAACAATCAATTTACAGGGAAGTGAAAAATAAATCTGATATAAACAATGGGGAAATGTTGGTAAACAATAATACCAATTATCACAAAGAGCCAAGTCAAAAATTATATTCTCCTCTAGTAAAAAATAATAATGGTCATGAAATTATAGATTATAATAATAGCAATGATTGTAATATAGGTAAAGGTGAGAACTTCTCATGTTATTTTTCTAAACATAAATAATATAATACTTTTGGCGTTTAGGTGAAAATAAAACTGCTTCCTGTTACAATACCGATCAAAAAGAGCCCGTTATAGATGATTTAGAGTAAGTCAAATAGTTTACAAAGAGATCCAAAATGATTGAAACAGCTGTGTCTATTCTGATTTTGCTCATTTGGGTTTGCAATAAATTTATGAAATTTGGATATTTATTTACGACATCAACTTTTGACGTTTCTTATGTCAAAACTAACTGTCGCAGTCTTTGAATAAGAAGACTAAGGAAGGAGCATAATGCTATCCATGTAACATGCATGGTAGGCGGAAAAAGGACTCTGAGGTGGGGATCCTTGACAGTTCTGTTTGACGATTCATTTGACACATTTGAATTTGATTTGAAATTTTGTGGATTTGCCAGTCTTTACGGAGCTTATTTTATGTTATTTATTATTTATTCTACTACTGATAGTTGTATAAAGGTAGTAAATCTAGATGGAAACTGTGGCAGAACTTAAATTAACAGTGACACTATCGCGATTTATCGAAAAAGACTCTAAAATAGTTGGTTGTGTAGCGTGCGGTAGATATCGGCAAAAATCGAGTGAAGTAATGGAACAACTTTTCGCTAGTAAGTGACTATATAATATACATATAGTAAACCGATCATTTATGAAATTCACTTAAATTAACTAATTATATATTTTTTCTTGCATTTTTGCTTTTATTTACTACTTGTCAAAGATTAGATGTCAAAGAATTTAGATACGTCAATTTGACTTACCTGCTTCAGTAGCGTATCGGATGTTTATGGTTATAAATAATTATTATAACTTACCTATTTTTATTAGAATTTTATATTTTTATAACAATTTTAATAACTACCTACCCTAACAACATTTATTCACAACGTAAAATAATAAAAAATATTGAGTCTACTCCACGTCTACCCTACATCATAGTTTTACATTTTTTAAATAAAATTAGAACGGCACTGATACACCGGAATTTAAGTCGGCCATATTTGAGGCCCATCGCGGTGTACCTAAGAATTTTTGATATGCTCCTTCCTTAGTCTTCTTATTCAAAGGTCGCAGTAGCCCAGTCTATCGACATACCAAATTTCATTTAAATCGGACTATTTTTTCGCCATTGATAATGGGGTTTCATAATGCAGGAAACGTCGTCAAAATATCATGAAAAGATGCCTTTAGACATCAAAGTCAAAACTTGTACTTTTACAGGAGGAAAAAGAAAAGCCAAAAAAATTACGTCAATGAATTGACATAATTTGCTAAATTTGTCGATAATTCGTTTTTGAGTTGGTACATATTGCTAATCTTAAAATTCCCTAACATTGTATTGCCAACTGTTTCAATCATTCTGGATCGCTCATCGGTCCTCTCAGTATCAATAATTAAAAAATGTTTACAGGAAAAATGAAATGGAAATTGTTGTAAACAACGAAGAAATGTTGAACCCAAAAATTAAGCAGATAATAGACAGATTCATTGAAATCTCCCATATAGAAAATTCGATAATAAACGAGCATAAAAATGAAATAATGACACTATTAAAACAGAAATTTATAGATTGTGAAAAGACCGAGTGTTACAAAGTACAAGCCGAGGTTTTTTTACTTCTGAAACAGATAATCGACAAAATATATTGCGCTGATTCTCCACCTTTAATGGAAACTTTAAAAGTGCTAGAGTCAGTGCACAAAAACTTGCACAACCCTGTCCAAATCCGTGAAGAACAATGTACCCAGTTAAAACATGAGAAAATTTCTGAGGTTAAAGTCTTTAAACAGAGTTTGAAAGGTAGGTCTGGGTATTTCAAAGTAACTGTCGTGGCAATTGTCACGATAGGTTTTATATGGTGGTTAATAAAGAGTTCAAGCAGGACATAAGATTTATACGTATCTCTCGACAAGTAACGCAGAAACTTACGTTAGTGTACGTCCATAGTGTATTTTTTATTATTTTAATTGCTTATATATTTCGGTTAGGTGGGTTTATACCGGGGTAAATCAAAACTTAGTTTTTTGCAATAAATTCAAAATACCCTGTGCAAAAAATGGGACGGGCATTTTGGATTAAAAAAAACACTTTCCTGCAATTTTAGATGTATACTTAACATTTCATTTTTTGAATTATCCTATTATATCTATTCTTTTATGAGCAGCACGTTTTTAAATAAAGTACTGATATTTTTACAATTTTGAATTTGTTATATCGAAGATGGCACACCGTTAAGCCGGAGTCTCATGCATCCGAAATCCGATGGTACGACATCCGAAATTTGAAGTTATCGTGTGAAATAAAAAAAGCCTGTCACATACATCCGAAAGTTCGTTCCGAAATTTGACAGTTTTAACATTTTTCTGCTGCGCTGAATAGAGATTCATGTCATGTTTTATTGGAGAAACACTTATAAAAATAACTTGCTCGCCAAATATCCCGAAATTGCCCACTTCCCACTAAACTTGTTTTTAAAAACAAATGTTTTCAAAAAAAGTGAGGTTAAAAAACACACGATATCGTACAAAAGTTAAACAAAATTTAACTTTATACGACGTCGGATGATTAGTTAAAATTATCGGATAAAAATTGTTGTCAAAATATTTCGACCAATAGGAGCACCGTCGGATCGTCGTGTCATCGGATTTCGGATGCATGAGACTCCGGCTTTATATTGAAGATGTCCCCAAGAAGTTGTTCCATTTACTCTTTTTATTGGAAATCAGTTTATTCTAATGCATGATAATGCCAGGCCCCACGTTGCGCGGAGTAACGAGTTAGGAGCAGGGTTGTTAAGTATTTATGAAGCAAAAAACTACGCCCATTTTTTTGTATTAACTACGTTTTAAAACTTTAATAACTACCTTCAAAAACTACACAAAAACTACGTTAAAAACTACCTACAAAAATATAGTAAAACATAAACAATTTAGACTTTAAACAAAAATCAAGCCAAATTCTTATCATGGAAGTACGAAGTTATATTATATTTGTATTAGTTAAACAACATCAGAAAAAAGACAATTTTTTTTCAACAAAAGTAAATTTTCTACGAAATACAAAGTAACATTGAACCCGAAATAAACTATAAATTCTCATGGAGAAATTCTCCATAGACATTCTCCAGGAGAATATATGATTTTTTACATCTAAAGGCACAACTTCATAATTCCCCTCTTCCCAGAAGGTATGGAGACATCGACGTCTTCCAAGCATTTTTAACTACTAAGTATCAAAAATATCATATAATAAGGAACAAATTCACAAAATATAGATTTTTTATTTCTTTAAATTGATCAACAAACAAAGTTTTTAGGTTACGTTTTCACTGTTATTTAAAAAAACTACATTAGTTACATAAACTACACATTTACTACTCGACATTTAAAAAAGTACTTGTGACATGTAGTAAATATAGTTTATTAATTACTACGTGTAGTTTAACAACTCTGGTTAGGAGTACGAGTAGCAAACGAGTACCTGGATGAGGTTGGTTGGTCTATGAAGATTGGAATGGCCTCCATGTAGTCCCGACCTCAATCCAATTGAACATTTGTGCGATTAACTTAAAAGAGCTGTTCGTCGTCGTCTTATTCCACCACAAACTTTACAAGAACTATGGCTAGCATTAACGGAGATTGTTAATGCCAGCTGTAGCTCTTGTAAAGGGTTTTCTTGATCTATAGCTTGATATTCATCGAGCGATAGATCAAGAAAGAATAACTACCCTTAACCCTTATTCATTCAATACGACTTAGAGCTCGAGTTTTTATTGAATTGGACATGCACGCTATTAAAATTATTATAAAATTGTTGTTTTTGTCAATAAAAGAAGCTCTGAAATCAATACTTAACTTAAAAATGTGTAGATATAAATCATAAAAGAACAGAGATAATGGGACAATTTACAAAATTAAATGTTATGAATACATTTAAGATTACAGGAAAGTGTTTTTTTATCCAAAATGCCCGTCTCATTTTTTCCACAGGCTGTTTTGAATTTATTGCTGAAAACAACCTTTTGATTTACCCCGGTATAAACCCACCTAACCGAAAAATATAAGCCATTAAAATAATAAAAAATAATGCCAATAAATTTATATTCACACTGATACAATAAACATAAAAATTGGATTACAAAATTAAAAGTTATGAAACATCAAACTTCGTCAAAGTTTTAGGGTGGCAGAATTTTGTGCTGGGGAGTATATTTTGAAAATAGCAGCATTTTTAAACGTTTTCAATTTTGTTGGAAATATACTTCAACGTTTCTTTCTCCATGCGGAAATATTCGTTAAATGTTTGATGATGAGTTGTGAGTTGTGGATATATTGTTATAATATTTACCAAAATTAAAATGAGACCGAGTAATTTCATGAACGCGAGTAGTGCTTTCTTGTATCAGTTTAATATGAACATTATCACTAGCTAATAAAAAACATAATAGATCCCCACGGGATAGCTCCATGATGGTAAATGACATTCGCGCTTCCTGCAAGCGGTTGTTAATGACCACTACCTGCTTCAATGGCGCAGGTTCACAAAGCGATAACACCCATCCCAAAGCGGGAAGCTGATGGTGCACTATGGACTTACCTTTACGAATATGGACGCATCGTCGCACAAACAAGAGTTAAAGCCAGTATTTTGACGTACCTAACGTAAATGGTACATTTGTATTTCTACATTGTTTTGTGAAACATTTTTTTTTAAATTTTAAAACTGAAAAAAAGACGCAAGTGAATTTCTCACTGCGCAAGCGTACATGTCAAACGATACGTTTACCTATTCGTCTTTGGCCGTGCTTTAACTGTCTAATAAAAAAAGAGAACCTCTCGTCCAAGCCATCGTTATTTGCATTTCGTAGACTGATTAAAACATTATTTTTCTTTTTTTACGTAAATATTAGTATTTAGCTAGTTAGTTAGGTATTTGTTGAGCGACTTTTGTTTATTTACAATTATTTTAATTTTGTTTTGTATAGTAGACATAGCATGTATGGCATAGCTTATTTAGTTTTTGTTTATTATTATGTTATTAAATTAATTAAGTTTCATTTATTAAACGTTAATAATTTTTTTTCTTACTATGTTAAATTTGACTGGTTGAATCTTATTAGCTAGATTTCGCTCTTAATAATGTTTTATTTTTAGTTATTATTTCTTTTATTGTATTTTATGTTATGTTAAAAAGCCATTTTAATAAGACTGTTATTATTATTAAAAAAAAAACAGTGAATATTGACAATAATATAAGCAGATTTTGAAAAAAATATATGAAACTTTTCTTCTCTGTTTTTTTTTATCAAAAAAGTAGACGTGGCAACATTGCGACGTGCATTAATCAATTACCGTGTGATCGAAAGCAAACGGCGTCCAAGACGGCTGGGAAATGACAATCGATGATAATTTTGGTGAGGTCAATCTCTAGACGTCATTTATTAGAAAATTGACATAAAACTTAAGTAAATGACGTCTAGGGTTGGACCTCGCCAAAATTATCAGCGACTGTCATTCCCCAGCCGTCTTTGACGCCGATTTTTTTCGATCGTATGGTATTTTGATGACATGTGCTCTAACTTGTACTGATTTTCCTATAATAACCCTTGTCTATAATTAAAGTGTGGGTATACATGCATCCGTAATGCGTCGTCTGTCGTTGATTTTATGGATTTTTATTGGTATATTTCAAAAATGACAGCTCATACTTAAATATGATTGGACTGACGCATTACGGATGCATATAAACTCAGATTTAAGGTGAAATGGCAATTTTCTGCATGGTTCTCTCGCTCTGTGGCTTTTTTCCGAAATATTTGGTTTCGCTCTCAAATTTGGGAGTTGTCTTCTCTAAAATATTTTTTTTTACAAAGGTATTTTAGGTGAGTTTATACAGGGTCGCTTTTATGTATGGAAACGGTCGATTATTAGGTAAAATATAGGAGGTACCGCAAAAAGTTAAATACAAAAGTTATAGGATTTTTAAAAATTTATTAGCGAGTAATAAATTTAAGTATACAGGGTCGTTCATAAAGTCGTGGCACATCAAAGTTTAATTTTTTTAGATAGAACTTCTGTATATTATTACATATTTCAATTCTTCCTTCAATTCTAAGCATAAATCGAAATACACACAATGTACTTTAAAGCAACCGTTTCCGAGTTATTGACTTTTGAAAATATCCCTTAAACAATTTGATTTAATTAATTTCGATGTGTTTGGTTTGATTTAATGATGCCATTCTGCCGAAACTGTGATACTGTTGTAATAGGTTTTTAAATTCCTATTAGCTACTAGTAAATTTAAGTATACAGGGTCGGTCATAAAATTGTGTCACATCAAACTTTTTTTTAAAATAAAACCCCCTGTATATTATTGCATATTTCAATTACGTAAATTGAAGAATTGAAATGTTAAACGAAAATTTTGTAATTTCCAGACTTGATATAATCTCATTTTATACATCTATAAATACTAACTTGAGAACTAATTTCAAATATTATTAAGTATCTCAGTTTCGGCAGAATGGCATTGTTAAATAAAACTGAAGGTACCGAAATTAATTAAATCAAATTGTTTAAGTGATATTTTCAAAAGTCGATAACTCGGAAACGGTTGGTTTGAGGTACATTGTGTGTATTTCGATTTTTGTTTAGAATTGAAGGAAGAACCGAAATATGCAATAATATACAGGAGGGTCCATTTAAAAAAATGAAACTTTGATGTGCCACGACTTTATGACCGACCCTGTATTCTTCAATTTATTACCCGCTAATAGATATTTATAAACCCTATAACTTTTATATTTAACTTTTTGCGGTACCTCCAATATTTTACCGAATAATCGACCGTTTTTATACATAAGAGTGACCCTGTATATGCATTCGTTATGCGTCGTCCGTGGTTTCGTCACTCCAATCATATTCAAGTATGAGCTGTTATTTTTTAAATAAACCAATAAAATTGCATAAAATCAACGACGGATGCATATAAACCCGCACTAATTGTGGGTTTACAAGCATCCGTCATGCGTCATTCTGTCGCTCCAATCAGGTTGATGTATGATGTGTCATTTTTGAAATAAACCAATAAAATTACTTAAAAACAACAATAGCATTTTTGTTTATAGACTTTGATTGCCCTGTCCATGGTCCATCTGAATTTCTCCTATTAATAAGCTTTGATTCGCCACAGTTAGAGGTGTGTAGTTCGTAAACGAACTAGTTCCAATGAACTATTCCGACCCCTGAATGAAAGGAACTAGTTCCTGGTTTCTCAAAGGACTAGTTCCTCAGGACCTATTCCGGGATCGAGAATGTGCCCGATATAGAACAATATGCGACGGATCGGCTAGCGCGCGTAGCCCGATGGTAGGCAGGAGTGGGGAGTGCCAGACTTCGTTATCGGATCCGGACCTAGAGGAACTAAACTAAATAAAAGACTAGTTTACGTACGAACGGATCGGGCCAGCGCGATCGATGCTAGGCAGGAGTGGGGAGTGCCAGCCTTATGCCGTATATTATCGGATCCGGACCTAAAGGAACTAGAGGAACTAAATAAAAGACTAGTTTACGCAAATACGTTTTAATTAAAATTATTAAAACGTATTTGAGTTTACGTATGGATCAGCCAGCGCCATTGATGCTAGGCAGGCGTGGGGAGTGCGAGCCGTATGTTATCGGATCCGAACATAGAGGAACTATTAAAAGACTAGTTCACAGGAATCTATTCAGTCAGCAAATCCGAGATATAATACAAGGCGACGACGCTGGATTCGGCCTTGTCTATTGCCGCAGCCGGCGCGGCGTAATTACCACAGAAGTCGTGGATACTGTTTTTGTTAAAATATTTTATGGGAATATATAAATATTTTATGGGAATGTTTCACTTTAGGTCCCTAAAATTAAGAAATATCTTATAAAACGAAGTAGATATTCTCAATTTTTAGACAAAAACAAAAAGCTTGAAGTGAGGAAAAATGCAAATTTTCGTAAAATTTTTGTAATATTTGCTCCAATTGATTTGTGATATAGTTTTTTAAATTCTGATTTGAGTTTTTTTTTAATTTTTTTTATCTGCTATAAAACTTACCTATATGTTTTTAAAATACACAATTACACGTCTCGTTATATCTCCGTACATTATAAAAATTATACAGATCATAATGTGAATAGTTCACGAAACGCATTAGCAAGCAAGGGGGATGTCAATATGAGTCGGGAACTATTGTGAACTAAAGACCTAGTTCAAGGAACTATTCCTCTGCAGGAACTAGAACTAAGGAACTAGTTCCTCCCAAGGAACTAGAATTCCCACCTCTAGCCACAGTGTTGCTAAGAATTTAGTGCTTTATCCCATTACTACTCAAACTCCGCTATATGCAGAGCAGCACGTCATCAGCGATGACTATGAAATGAAGATCGCTGACATTTTATATGTAAATTTCGTAAATTTATATGGGAAATATCATCGATCGTCATTTCCTAGCAAACGGAGCAGTTTTTTTTTCGATCATACGACATTTTCTTGGCAGTAGTTGGCATTGTCTTACGGGAGTCGAGTATAATTATTATATGGTAGCGAGACATCCCTCGAAAAAAAACGCTATAATCTGAATAACATGGTAACCAAAAATAATTAAATATTAGTAAATTATACCCTTGCCTATATCATCCATAATCAAGGATTATACTAATAAAGTAAATTAAATTATATTCCGAATAATAAATTATTATTTTGATTTGCTTGAAATAAGACAAAATTTTTCATTAAACATGATTATGTATATTTATTCATTTTCGGAAACTCTATACCGCTAAAAAGAAAAGAAGACAATAAAATACACAATAATTATTCTTTGATTTGATTTAATTTTTTTTATTCCATCACCATTTAACATTTTTCACCAAAATTAATGTAAATAAAAAAAATTAACTATTTTTTATAAATTTGTGCCAACCAATACCTCTTACCTAACTTTTACTTGTTTTTTAAGGGTACAAATTTAGCTACTTTCCGCCGCTATGATATTCTATACATATTCTACAGATATTCTATAATTAAAGAAAATTAATGGTGGGTTCATACAGCCAAATAAAATAAAATAAGAATAAAATAAAATAAAATAAGAAAGTTGGTTATATGGGATACCGTACATGCGTTCATACAGCCAAATAAAATAACAAATAAAATAAGAAGTCTTTATCTTTTAACTTCTTGTTTTATTTTATGTGAAAACGGCTTTGCGCACGCTTAATTCTAACCTACAAATATTTTCAGTTTGGATTTAATTTATTTTATAATTTCACATAAGTAAAATGTATAATATAGTAGGCAACGAATAAATAAATATACTATAAATAGTAAAATTACTATAAACAATCGTAAAAGTTAACTTTTATCCAGCCTCATCGTACTGCGCATGAGCAAATATATATTTCTTATTTTATTTTATTTGACTGTATGGACGCACACAAATAAGAATTCCTTATTTCTTATTTTATTTTATTCTTATTTTATTTTATTTGGCTGTATGAACCCACCATAACTGTTAGAACAGTTCTCTTTTGCATCGAAAGACCAATAATTAATAATGGTTTTTCTATTCCCACATAGATGGCATTAATACCAAAAATGATCTGTGGCATAGTGGCATATAGAATATTTTTTGTGATCTGTGGCAAATTAACGTTATGTTTTTAAATTTTACAATTCTAGGTTATTTTTTTCGTTATTTATCATTTATCACATATTGTTATTTTTTTATTCATAAAATGATAATAAAACCAGGTATTCCTTTGTGCTGATATCTGATAAAGTATGGTGAGTACTTGTATTAGATATTTAAATTAACATCCATATTTTGCCACAAGAAAATACTTGAAAGTATTAATTACAAAATAATTATAATCATTTAAGAAAACTAGCTCTTGCTCTCAGCTTCGTCCGCGTATACTCGAATCTCTTATATTATTCCTTTTAATACTTAATTTTACCCTCTTAGAGAATGAATTTTCAAGATTCGCTTTTTAGTGCTCAGTCGCATACTTAAGCAAAATTTTATACTACTAGAATAGATTTTCCAATTTTTTATTCGAACATTCGCCTCTAATTTCACCCTTTGGGGGATGAATTGCCAAGAGTAGATTCTTAATGCTGAATTGCTTCTTAAGGAACTTTTATGAAGAATTACATACTGCTAGAACAAATTTTAAAAGTATTTATTCAAACCCATCTCAAAAAATCGTTCCTTAGCGCTCAATTTCGTCATTTGATAAATCTTTGGGCAGATACTTATACTCCTAAAACATTCTAAAGTTTTTATACCTCCTCGCACCCCCCATAGGGTACAAAATAATTTTTTATTGCCCAATTATGTAATTTAAGGAACCTCTGTGCAAAAGTTTATTCTTCTAGAACTTATTTTAACAAATTTTTGTACAAGCTTTCATCTCAAATTTTACCCCTCCAAGGATGATGTTCCAAAAATAGCTTCTTCGTGTTCAATTACGTTACTTAAGGAACCTCTGCACAAAATTTCATACTCCTAGAAGAGATTTAAAAAAAATTGCACCCCTTAGAGAACAAACTTCCAAAAATCACTCCTTAGTACTCATTGTATCATTTAAGGACCCCTATACAAAATTACATACTCTAGCACCTTTGCTTAGAACAGATTTTAATAATCTAGGCCAAACTGTTTAATCTGTGCTTTGATAACTATCAATCAGCATTGAGTTTGTTATTGAGATATCTATATACGTTTTTATAGTTTGAAGATAATGATTATGATCCCAATGAAATATACAAATTACATTGCTACGGGGACGATATAGAAGAGGACTCTTTAACAAATTCAGATGAAAATGATGCATTATTACAATTTAAACCTGCACTTTATACCTACGAAGAATTATCAGATGCTATTGTTATCGAACCAGAGGGTGATTTAGAAAGCGATACAGCAGAATTAGCAATAAAAAATGTTGGAAATTCATTGAAAAACGTAGATGAATCTAAATATATTCAAGATAGGCAAGAAGAAATTATATCTAAATCTAAGCAAGGTACACTATAATATATCTAAATAGTGTACTAATTGAAAGGTCCAAGAGAAAAACAAGATAAGCGCCAATTTCTTAATTTTAGGGTTTTACCAGAGGGTTTTACAATATTGTCTAGACACAAAACTTTACTCAAAGTACATACTTGAGTCGTTTGAGACAAAATAAATTAATAATATCATATTTATATAATATCATTATTATTAGCTGTATTATTTTATATTACTTGGCTGAGCCCTAGGGAGGAGCTTGAGCTCCCGAAGCCCCTACCCCCCATTTTCTGTCTCTCCTGTAAAATGTGTAAAATGGCGCTCATCATGTTTTCCCCTGGACCCTTCAAATTTTATTATTCCCTTTTATCACAGATAACACATAATCCAGATGGCCATTGCTTACGGAACAGCATGTTTTCGATGAGACAGTTCCCTATTAATGACACAGAGGGCGTCTATAGCCAAATCTAATAATATTTTTAAAACGAACGAATTTCGAGCCACACCACGGCCACGCGATGTGAAGCGACGTAGCCAGTTGTTCATATTTATAAGCAAATTCCCGGTCAAACCCAGGGAAAATGTATATTCGGACTTTAATACTATACAATTGGATATGAAAATACTAGTCGCAGTGGATGTTTGAAAGTCAGAATTTTCTAGATGAATATATATGCTATTTATAGCCATGAAATTTATAATTTAGATTTTATTTTTATTATTTGTCTCTTAATATTCATTAGCTGAAAATAAGGGTAAAGGTTATCTATATAGTAATAAATAAAATTTGGCACATAGGTTCCTTAAGTGATGTAAATGAGCACTAAGAAGGGATTTTTTGAAAATTCGACCGCTAAGGGGGTGAAATTAGGGATGAAAAGCTGCATAAAAATTTGTTAAAATCTGGTTTAAGAGTATGAAATTTTTCACGAGTGCTCCTTGACTGACGTAATTGAACACTAAGGGGCAATTTTTGGAAATTCGCTCGTTAAGGGGGTGATATGGGGGGTACTTTTGTATACAAAAAAAAGCATGTCCTAGGACTACGAAATTTTGCACAGAGGTGCCTTAAGTAGCGTAACTTAACAGTTCGATTATACAAAGCGATTTTAGGAAATTCTTCTACTAAGGGGTGAAACTGGGGGTGAAATTTTGCATACTTTTTTAAAATTAGTCCGAGGAGTTTGAAATTTGGAAATTGTTAATTAAGTGACGAAAGTGAGTACTCAGAAGCAAATTTTGGACATTCATCCCCTAAGAAATAAGGGATGAAAATTGGTATAAAAATTTGTTAAAATCGGTTTTAGAAGTATGAATTCTGCGTAGACGTTCCTTATGTAACTTAATTTAGCACTAAGAGGCAATTTTAGAAATTTTCCCTCTAAGGGGGTGAAATGAAGGGTGAACGTTCTGAAAAAAAAAATCTGTCCTAGAAGTATGAAAATTTGCACAGAGGTTCATCAAGTGATGAAAGTTATACTCAGAAGCGAATTTTAGCATTCATCCCTTAAGAAATAAGGGATGAAAATATGTACAAAAAATTTGTTAAAATCGGTTTTAGAAGTATAAAATTGTTCGCAGACGTTCCTTATATAAGGTAATTTAGCACTAAGAAGCAATTTTTCGAAATTTTCCCTCTAAGGGGGTGAAATGAGGGGTGAACTTTCTGAAAAAAATCTGTCCTAGAAGTATGAAAATTTGCACAGAGGTTCCTCAAGTGATGAAAGTGAGTACTCAGAAGCGAATTTTAGGCATTCGCCCCATAAGAATTAAGGGATGAAAATTTGTACAAAAATTCATTAAAATCGGTTTTGGAAGTATGAAATTTTGCGCAGACGTTCCTTATGTAACGTAATTTAGCACTCAGGAACAATTTTTGGAAATTCGCCCTCTAACGGGGTGAAATGAGGTGTGGACGTTCTGAAAAAAAATTGCTTGTTATTACTAAATTACGTTACATAAGGAACAAACAGAATTTCATACTTCTAAACCCGATTTTAACAAATGTTTGTACAAATTTTCATCCCTTATTTCACTCTCTTAAGAGATGAATGTCCAAAATCCACCTGTACAAAATTCCACACTCGTAGGACTGTTAGTTTTAACTAACAATTTATTAAAGTGCAACTATATAAAAATTATACAGGGTGGCGCCTCTCATATGACTCGGAGGCTCCAAGGAGAACGACCAATTCGTATTGAAATGAAATTTTGTGATCATATGTAAGTTAATTCTGCGTACGTTTTAAAAATATAGAGAGTTCTACAGGGTGTCCCCAAAAAAAGTTACACATCAAATTTGTATTTTTTTGTAAGGGAATACCCCCTTTATTAATTAATTTTTAGATTCTAAGAGAAAAATAAAGGTGTGTTTTATTAGGGAAGTATATGACTGAAATGTAAGGTTTTAGACTTACTTAAGATTTTGAAGAACAATTTTTAAATTTCAAGAAAAACTACCTAAATTGGAATTTACTCTATTGCACTTTAATCAAATTAAAACCTGACCCATAAAGTTATACAGGGTGGGGCAAAATTAATGTTGAACATTGGTATAACCTGTATAACTCCTTTAATACCCACCCTGTATAAATCCTTTAGTTTAATTGAATCACCCAGAATATTATTCCGATATTCAATGGGAAATTCATGTCACTTCCAAATACTATTAAGGTTGCCGGCCTACCCCTCAAACAAAGATTTTCCTAGATATTTTCATTTCTATGATTTAGTGTGAATAGATCTTTATTATTTGATAAAATCTAGGGTGGCTGTGATATGTCTGACGTTACTTCAACATAGTGTCAAATTAGTTCAACTTTAGCAACTAGTTATTATTTTGTGTCAGTTCGTCAGTTGAAACAAAAAAAAAATCTAAGAAATTTTCCGAAAATAGAAACTTATCCTACATCAGAAAGAATTGATATGATTCTACTTTTAGATTCAAATTTTGTTATATAATTATACATTTATATCTAATTTTAATTCTGTGATAATTAATATATGTTTTAAACGTATGTTTTTATTACAGTATTTTATACTACATCCTTTAATTTTTGATAAATTAACACAGCCACCTAGATTTTTTCAAATAATAAAGATCTACTGACGCAAAATCATAAAAATGAAAGTATCTAGGAAAATCTTTGTTAGAGGGGTAGGCAACCTTAATAATATTTTGAAGATATATGAATTCCCCATTGAACACGGAAATAATATACTGGGTGTTCCATTTAAAATAAAGGAGTAACTTGCTTTTCAAAGTGATAAATGTTCAATATAAGTTTTGTCCCACCCTGTATAACTTTTCCTGTCACATTTTAATTTGGTTTAACATATTATGGTTATTGTAACTAAATATCAGGCTATACAGGATAAATTACAATATAGATAGCTGTTATTGAAATTTAAATTTTATTCTTCATTTTCACAAAATGTGAAATATGTCAAAATCCTTACATTCTAGGCACATGCTTCTTTAATAAAACATACCTTTATTTTTCCTGAATCCAAAAATCAATTAATATATAGGGTATTCCATTACAAAAACAACTTTAATGTATAACTTTTTTGGGGACACCCTGTATAACTATATATTTTTATAAAATGCTTTCAATTAATCTATATATATTCATTTCCAAGCCCACTCCCACGCCGTTTTTTTTTTTCGATCGTATGGTATATTCAATAATTGCATTACTTATAATTTATAACAGTTTATGTTCACTGATTCATTTATAATTTATATCCACTTAATTACTTGATTTATCCATCATAAACTTTGCATAGATAAAGAAATAACGATGGACAATTCTTAATGTGTTAAATTATACCGTATGATCCAAAAAAAAGGCGTCCGATTGGCTTGGAAATGATGGTCGATGACATTCCCCATATAATTTTACATATCAAATGACAGCGATCTTCATTTCATAGCCATCGCTGACGCCGTTTTTTTTTTCGATCATACGGTATATGGTAAAAGCCATCGATCACCATTTCTAAGGTAACTTAACGCCGTATTTTTACATACAAAATGTGCAAAAAAATTCTATATGAATGAACTCACCACAATTTTCTATCCACTTTGTACATAAATTAGGATCTCTTGACGCAGGAAACTTAAACATATGTACACCTGATTTCCGAGAAATCCCACAATTATAAAATTGGCACTTATTACCAGACATTTTAATAATAATTTTATTATCACTAATCACACACAGTTATAATCAAAGACAGTCAAAGGTAAATTACCCGCCTTTTAAAATATCCATTAAAAACAAAAAGACAGTAACGACATATCTAAATCTTCTATCTTTGTCGCATATGGTTCGTTCCTTTATTATTCCGTGATAAGGGAAGGAATAGAGATTTTCTATGATAAGTGGTAAAGCTAGGTTTTCATATGTACAAATTTGAAAAACTTTCCAGGAAATTGGGTCATATTATTTTCATTAATAAATTGTTTATCATAAATAAATTTATTAAAAAAAAAATTTTGAACGAATATTCAAATTCTAAACGTTTCAATTAACAAAAAAAAATTGGCCAAGTGCGAGTCGGACTCGCGCACGAAGGGTTCATTATCATTGAATGTACCATTCACACATTATCTATACAACATCAGACATTATATTATTGTAAACTTTTTTCCGATTTAGCTGAAATTTTGAATGCGCTTGTAAGTAATTTAAAAAAAAATGAAGAAATACATTGCTAAAAATTGTATTAATCAATAATAAATAAGTAAAAATAAATATGTAAAAATATGTAAAAATAAAAAAAAAAGATTAAGAAAAAGTCACCTTGCCTACGATTCGAACCTGCCTCACTACGTCTCAACGCCTTCAAATCCTAACGCCTTTAACCACACGGCCACTGAGGACTTGAATAATCTGTGTAAAATTCTTACTTAAACGATAATGTTTAGTGAAAGTACTTTTTTATTTATAAACATTTATTTAATTCTGTTTTTAGTATTTGTTCTTATAGCGGCAACATAGATACATTATCTGTAAAATTTTCAACTGTCTAGCTATAAAGTTAGTTAATAAGAATTAATAGGTGTAGCATATTTCAACATTATTCACTGGTTTTAAAAAGATCAAAAAATATGCATGTGTGTTTATAGTATAAATGAATTGCTCCTTACGTTAGTTCTTATTGATATAATAGCAAAAAAGTATAAAGTATAAGCGCAATTTTATTAAAAATATGTTATTCTAAGTTAGAATAACATAGAGTTAAAAAAATATGTGTTACAATTTCTAACACATATATTTTTTTAACTCTAATGTTCTAAATTAATTGTTCAAAATATAATTGTTATTTTTTCCTAGGAAAGATAAAACTTCATTAATTTTCATAAATAAATTTATTTCTATTAAATTTTATAGAGCAATATGTACTACAGTTTTATTTCACATTTTGTAATACTGCTTCAGTGCGGTGCCCCATTGCTATCTGTGAGTTCATTCAAATTATGAAAAATCACTACTGATCTAGAAGATAAAATGTACCTAAGTACCATAATATTATAATCAAAAATGACTAATTTTGTAAATTATTACCTATAATGGTTAGATGAGATGCATGTAAACTTCTTTAGGCTGGTTTCTTAAAGTTAGGTGATTAATTATCTTCGCATCGTCATAGGCTCTAATCAATTGTAGATTATTCTTCAATCAACCTGAAATATGTAATATTATTTACTTTATATCTATGAAAAATTATCATTTTCTTTATGAAAATTTTGAGTTTAAATTTAAATGTGATTAGAATAAATATACGTCACTAATTAACATTTTATCACAGGTAATATTCTATATTACTTTATGTTTACTTTTGTGAAAATATTACTTACCTATAATATTTAAACGAGTTCCTGAATGTACAATTTTACTTGTTTATCGCGATGCCGAGTTCTGAATCTTGTATTGGTTGTCTAAAACTGTTTGATTTTGCTTAGTTATATTGTATCCTATATTTTATTAAACAAACTCAAAATAATGTTTATAATTACCTTCATCAGCCTTTATACCATTAAAAGTCATTATTATCAGTTATTATTATGTAGTATGTAGTTATTTCTTTGAGTTATTTGTTGTTGTTTGTTTTCAAAGATCATTTTTGAGGTTAATATCATATGAAACTTTTCGTAATTAGGCAACTGTAAAATGACGTGTGACGATAAATTAATAAAATAATAATGTACGTATTAAGTTAAATATTTATATATTAATTTAACATCCGGTATTACCTAACATCCATATCTATTTCATGTTTATAAATTACATAATTTTTAATTTTATATATTCATAATGAAATGAAATATATTTCGATATAACGTTTGGCAACCACGCAACTGAAGTGCAAGCGACATCTGTGCAAGAGAAGCAAAACCTCCCAAAAAAGTTAGAAAAGGAATCTAAAAATTTCAGATTATTCAAACGTCACTCCAATATTTTTCCAAATTGGAGTGAAATTGGGGTGACAATTTTTAACACGTAAGGAGCCATCTGGATTATGTGTTATCTGTGCTTTTATGTTGATCTAGAAGCGATAGTAAAGGAAAAAATAGAGAGTTTGACACTACCGGATTATTGTTACTTATGCGAAGCAAAGTTAATATCACCACACAATGCTACAGCTCATTATAAGTCGAAGAGGCATAAACTTAATATTGCGATGTACAGAGATGAGATTTTAAGTAACTTAAAAAGTGAACAACAAGGTAGGTACACTATAATACTTAGACAAGGAAAGAGAGGGGACAGCTAACACGCATATTCTCCCGTGATCGGTTAGTGAGGCCAAAATTCGATCGGCGGCCATACTTTGGTGACAAGATTTCGAGGTGACACCGAGCGAATTTTTATGTTTTTTGTGACAACTGTTTTGTTTTAAATTTATAAACTGTATTGTTTAGTATGGTGAGATGTTCAGCGTATGGCTGCAAAGGCCGAAGCGAGAAAAAAGTGGCTGGAATTACATTTCACAGGTAAAAATCGATACACAACTTTTGTTATGTGGTCATAAAATGTACATTTTTTCATTATAGCAGTAAAAACATGTAAACTGCTTTTAATATGTTTTGTACCACATCCAAGCCAAACTATTTTTAATAATTCCAAGTAGTATTTTCAATATCCTTTATTATAATTAATGTTTGAAACTATAAATAATGCTACTCAGCATGGATTTCTCCAGTGGCGTAGGGAATTATAATCAGAGAAATACAATTTCTGCAATAAACATTTTTTATATATTTTACATGTAAAAAATGTATAAAGTATTGTTATCAAATATGTAAAATAATTGTAAACTTTAAAAAAAATTAAAAATTCTAGTGATAAAAAATCTATATGTATAGTTGTTATATAAAACTTAAATTTATCTGCCAAGATTTGCTGGGGGTGGACAAACTTGTGGTGGGCTACTTGTTACTACATATATTTTTTTAAATATTCTTTCAAAAAATTTGCTAATTTAGGTGTATAATAAAAGTCTCAGTGAGTAATTAATAAAAATTTAAAAATAAATAAAATAACACAAAGCTTCTAGAATTGTTTATTTTTTTGTGGAAAATTAGGAAATTCTTATGATTGAAGGTAACAAATATTAAAAATTACATTATTCATTGAATCCGTACGCAGTGTGAAGGGATGGCTAGATTCATTATTATACCGTATGGTCGAAAAAAAACGACGTCCAGTTGGCTTGTAAATGACGATCGACGACATTCCCCATATAATTTTACATATAAAATGACAGCGATCTTCATTTCATAGCTATCGCTAACGCCGTCTTTTTTCGATGTCGTTTTGTATAGTTTTTATGTCATTTTATATGGGGAATATCATCGATCGTAATTTACAAGCCAACTGGACGTCGTTTTTTTTTTCGATTATACGGTATAATAATGAATCTAGTCAATTCCCTTCACACTTGCTTACGGATTCAATGAATAATGTAATTTTTAATATTCATTTGTGAAATTGACATTTCCAAACAAACAAGACGCCGTTTTTTTCGATCATACAGTATATATGTATATACACGTTTAAAACATATGTTATTACATTATTTTTTATTTAATTATACATTATACACACGTTAATAAATAAATAATTGTCTTGATAATCAGTCCACTGTGACCTTTGAATAAGAAGACTGTGACTGTTAAATAAATTTTGCATTATCGACTTAGATATTCTAATATTATAAAGGTGAGACTATAAAATACAAAATTGTATATGCATTACTCAAAAATTAACGATATATTAGTTTACGTTTTAATAAATATTTTGTACCGTCTAGGTACAAGCTAATTTCTGATGCTACGCCATTGGAGAATTTCGCGTGGCGACAACTTGCCTCACTTTCAGCTGCCGTGTTACCTGTCCCCTCTCTTTCCTTGTCTAAGCTATAATATGTTCAAATAACCTACTAATTTTTATTATTACCGTTTATGTAGATCTAGAAGCGATAGTAAAGAAAAAAATAGAGAATTTGACTCTACCGGATTATTGTTATATATGCGATGCTAATTTAATATCACCACACAATGCTACATCTCATTATAACTCGAAGAGGCATAAATTTAATATTGGGGCGCACAGAGATGAGATTTTAAATAACTTAAAAAGTCAACAACAGGAAGCACTCAAACGTAAAAAGTCAGTACCTAGGTCGCTGAATTATCTAATTTATATTAATGTTTGGTTTCGGTGAACTATCCATACACAAATTTCTTTTAGAAAATGATGCCTATTTTACCTTAAAATTAAGTTCTTAGATTATTTGAATATATATTGTCGCGGGCTTGTTTATATCCGTTTCTACGTTTTATATGTTTAAGCTGACCAATGACCAAAGAATACAAAGACCAATAACACCCGAGACCAAATTGTTACCACACCTCCAAACGTGTGTTGTGCCACATATTTTTAACTTACCTGCTTTTTTACTCAATAACAAGGGGCCTTACCTGCTTAAAGAGATACTTATATTTTTTATAAATGTTTTGACTACGCCTATGGTGTATGCTGCTTATTAGGTGGTGTCATACTAATGTAGGTGGTATCATACTATTATCTGACAAACGGATCTAAAACAGAAAGAGGAATGCGGGCAAAAAAAGTCGACGTTTGTCAGACTGTAATTAGGGCTCTAACTCACTGACGACCAGGTCGCAACGATTGGCCGTCGGCTGGCCGGATGTATTGCGTTTATAGCTGCGGCCAGATGAACGACCAGTTTCAACAGAGTTGTCAGATGTAACGATTTTTTACGTTTTACCAATTAGAAAATATTGTTTCAGAAAGAATTAAGTTTCAAAAATGTTGCTATTCATGAGCTTATTAAATGTTCTAATATTAAATAATGCATTTAAAATATTCTTGGATTTTTCGTTAATAAATACTGGTGTGGTAAATGGAGTAAGTAAAATCTCCAACCCCGACTACACGATAACATCGTTATTTCCATGTTTTTCAAATCCGCGATGCATGCTATTCCGTCAGTCGTTTCATAACAGAATATTCTACATCCTACGTCTATGTAATTTAATATGTGTAGAGTGAGACATGTAACTCGTGAGATTTTCAGCATTATATCAATAAAAGACAAAAATAGTATTGTTCCTAAAGGCGCGTCCAGACTTTGGCATTTTAGTCAGAACGAACCGAGCGCGCACGAACAAGCAGAACAAATAGGCCGAACAAAAAGCATTATGTACGCGCGACCTACAAAAAGGGAGATATTCTGTTTCTTTTTTCTACTGATATGGACTTCTACTGATGGCTCTTATTAACTTTAGAAGTAAACATCGTAAAAAAAGTAGTCAGACACTGGCTCTAAATATAAGCAGGTAGAAAGTTTAGCTTCCAGTTATTTTAATGATTACAATATAACGAAGAATCTACAACAGTAATTACTTCTATTTTTATGAATGTTTAAGTTACTTTTACTCTAGTTAATTTTGAGGTTTTTGTGGAGATGTTTTTAAAAACATTTATTAAACAAGCGGGAGTACAATACGCGTTGATGGATTAAATATAATATTTAAAATACAGTTGTCCTCCTTGTACATGACTACAATACAACTAAAAATAATAATTTAATAAAAAAACAAGTGGTTGTAGAAAACTTTTGAATATGATTTTTTTTTATTTTTTAACATCGAAACTCGAAGGTATAATAACAGGTATCATACCAACTAGTAGTGGGAACTATCGAATGAATACTATCGAAATTAGTTGCAATTCATTCGAATAATTCGATAGTTAGTAAGAAAACATTCGTTGAAAACTATTCGAATAAAAATTATCGAATAGATCCGTCATCTGCCTTGAAATATTGTATTCTAGTAATTCGGCAGTAAAAACCATTCATTTATAAAATTCATTCATTTATGAAATTCATTCATTCGTCAGGATCGATTATAATAAAATATTAACTGAATTTTAGTTCTCGCCTGGCGACGTAGGTTTCTTTCCGAGAAACCCGACAGCGGTCGATGGCAATGCTGTGGCAATGCTATGAAAGAAGCCGGCATCTTTGATTTTTTGCGGAGTCAGATATAGATAAGGACACATTATTTTTTTATTGAGGTGCGAGTATTTATACAGAAAATACATTATGAAAGGCGCTGTTGCCATATTTTGGTATTAGTTGATATTAGCAAAGAATATTATTGTTTGGCTTTAGTTAATTAGGGATAGTATGTCTATATATTCTGCATTTTTTTTTATTAATATTCTGTTGTTACACTGCAATAATACTAGTTATTTTGGATGTAGGAAAATTATTTTTAATGTTTTTTAGCAAAAACTGGTTTAATAAATAATAATAACAGTAATAATTTGTTATACCTATTAACAACAAAATTTAAAATCATTTAATATAAATATTTTCTTTTAAGTAGTAGCAAAATATAAACAACAAATTAGATGTCAAAATTATTTATATTAGATCCCATTTAAAAATAATATAGTCTCTAAATTTTTTGGCAACGTTGGTTTATTAATTAATAATAATTACAGAACTAATTTGTTATATTAACAACAAATTTTAAAATCATGAAATATAAACATTTATTAATTTTCTAAGCATGCAGTGTAATGGAAGGAAAATATAAATAAAAAATTTAGAAATCAAAATTATTTATATTAGGTACTTTATATTACTATTTATAAATTATATTTACTTTTACTGGCATTTACTATAAAAAATAAATGAAATATTTTTTCTTCATAAAAAACTACATGTAAGAGAATTAGCATAAATTAATACAAACATATAAAATACAAACATCGTCAACTTTTTTTTTTAAATTGGCACGTGTAAAACTTTCATTTTAATTTTCTCACCCATAGTTTGAGTTCGATAACCATTTACTTAAATATGATTATACAACCACATTACTGAAATATGATTATTAAGTTCAACTAATTCATATTATTAAAACATCTAAAATACAAATATGTATTATTAAAATTAATTGTAAAGTTCATCTCATCTCTCTTAAAAATTGTTACTTCTCAAAATTTCCCATTAAAAAATAGACCATATACCATATAAAATTAAATAATTGAAAGATCGGACTACGGAAAACCACACAAATTTTCAGAAAAATTTTGACCACCTGCACATGCACACAATCGTCAATAAATAAAATTAAAAAACAACTACTATTTTAGTATTTTAACTATTTTAATAAACGCAAAAATAGCACAGTATTTATACGGCGAAGTTATAAAAATTTGGAAGAATTAATAATGCACTGACGCATACAAAAATCAAACGAATACTAAATTTCATTTATCAAAAGCATTCGATAGTCGTGGCTCAACGATAACCATTTAGTCGCACGGCGAGGTTGTCACATATGCTTTAGTATACAAATGAATGAATTATTTTATTCGAATAAAACCATTCGATAGTTGAAATCATTCATTCATTAACCATTCGATAGTTCCCATCGCTAGAATCGACCCTTGATAAAAAAGGGACTAGATTTAAGTTTCCCTTTGATCCAGTCTGTATACTATTTCTTTGGATTTTCTGCACGTGTGCAAAAACTACACTAAAACACTATATCTTATAGAAAATAAAATATTGTGCGTTGATTTTGAGGGATTTCATCTGAAAAATTATTAATTTGGAAGAAAACCGGCAACAAGCGGCAGAAAATTATAATATTTTAGTGCAGTCTACTGGTCGCAACGACCAACGGACGGCCAGGACGTTAGTGTGCGCGGTATCATTTGATTTAATGGTTTTAGAGGTTAGCAGCGGCCTGGCCGGTGCGTCCTGGTCTTCAGTATGTTCGAGCCCTTAATTACAAAAAAAACGTATTAAAATGTTAACAAAGGGTACAAAACTAGTATCGACGTATAGCACATATCAAGGACATAAATATCAGAAAAATAGTTATCAAATACAATAATAAAAGGCTAAAAAGGTGGAGTGGACTGTTTATTTACTCCTGGCCCTTTCTTATTGTTCCAGCTTTTACATATAAAAGCTGAACAAATGACCATTGTAATAAAGTTTATAAAAAGTTCACTACACACAACAAACTATTAAAAATCGCTACAATTATCGCTGGTGTAGCGATACTTTTTACTCCCATCGCAAAGTACTCCCATTTGAAGTTTTACTTCAACAAGAAAAATACTAATATTGTGTGTCTGGATAGTTCACCGGATTCCAAAGTTTTAATTAGTATTTTTGGGTATAGGAAAAAATCGTTCATTAATAAAAAGACTAAAATAATTTTAAATTTTCAGTTACTTTTGCTTTGTATGCGACATCGAATTCAATTCCAAAGACTTATATGATAGTCATGTTCAAAGCAGTGGCCACAAATTATATTCTTCTGCAGTAAAAAATAATATTAGCCATGAAACTATAGTTAATATTAATAGCGATGATTGTAATATAAGTAAAGGTGAGAACTTAATGTTATTTTTATAAATAATATAATAATTTAAATATTTAAATGTCTAGGTGAAAATGAAACTGCTGCTTGTTACAATACCAATGAAAAAGAGCCTGTTATAGATGACTTAAAGTGAGTGAAAAACTCTATATATTTAGGTAATTTATAATTAATTAAACAATTAATTTACAGGGAAGTGGAGATTAAACCTATTATAAATGATGGAGAAATGTTGGAAAAAATTAACACCAATCAAAAAGAGCCTATTATAGATGATTTAGAGTAAGTAAAATTTACTATTGGTAGTTGCAAAGGGATCCAAAATGATAGAAACAGTTGTCTATTCTGATTTTGCTTGTTTGGTTTGGCAATAAATTTATGGAATTCGCATATTTATATTTTATTATATATTTTATATTTTTTTATTTTTTTTTCCGAAATTATATTTCTTTTTTTGCAATAAAGTACATTATGTTTTGTTTGTTTGTTTATTTATTCGTTGTTATTACTAGCGCCAAAATAATTAATTACAATTAAACTTTTAATGATATTTAAATTCGTTTTTCATTATCAGTGAGACTAATCAAAACAAGATGAGAAATAGATGAGAGATAGATTTTCTAAATTAATTATTGAATAAAAATAGGTGTCATAAACTGTAACTGTATCCAATATATTGATATATTTGAAATTAGTATTTCTTGTTGAACATTGTATTGGAAAGTCGTAATTTTTTACATTGTAAAATATGCCGATTTCAAAAATAACTAAGTAAAAACTTGTACATTTACAAGTAGAAAAAGAAAAGCTAATAAAATTGACGTCAGTGAATTGACATAATTTGCTAAATCGGTCGATAATTTATTTTGCTAATCTTAAACTCCCCTAACAATATATTGCCAACTGTTTCAATCATTATGGATTGCTCATCGCACAGTACAAGTTCCGAGGGACTAACTCCAAAGGGAACTACAGGAGAGGCAGCTGACACTTGCTCGAGACCTGCCTCCACAAGTGGCACACAAGCTACCACCTCCTCTAGTAAGGGTCGGGAGCCTACCTCTAGACCCAACGTACTACACAAGTTACCGTTTCTGGGTCTACCTAGCCTGGGTCAATCAGGTGGGCTATAGTCTGTCCAACGACAAGATCCTTGACAGTGATAGATGTGTCTGTCATTTTAATTTCAAAGTAGTTTATTTTATTTTACAAAGAAATAAGTTGGTACAACTGGAACGCATAGTAGTAAATTAATATATTTAAAATTTGACTGATTAATTACTTCAAAATATTGTAAAAAACTGTATAAAACTAAAACAATGTAATCGAGTTATTTTATTTAAAAAAACCGGTATGTGTTAATACAAAACAAACCAGAACAAAACACCACTTACCAAAAAATATAAAAAAGAACTATTTCTTACTTTCAAGCTTCAAGAAACATCTCGCATTTATTATTATTATATTTATCAATATAACTTAACACAGGAATAAATAAAACAACATAAATAAAACAAACTATCAAATTTACACTTAAACTTACTAAATTTTATACCTTAAAGGTTGATTAATTAACTTTAATGTTAATTTTTTTAACTAGTACATTTTGACAACTTTATTGGCGTATAAGACTTTCTGTCTGGATAGCGAGTATTAACTATAAGCTGTGCTCTGGATCTACAGTTAATTTTCCCTCGATTTTTCCTTAATTTGACTTCAAAAGACACAAAACACACGTAATAACCCGAATCAAAATGCATCATCTTCCAAAACGCAGATATTTGACATAAGTTGACACAGAATTATAACCTATAATTTGGCAAGACTTTGACAAGCCTCAAAAATCTAAAGGCCAGTTCATACGCATCGGCGCCAGCGTCCGTTTGTCGTTCATCGTTCCCTTTGAATAAGAAGACTAAGGAAGGGGCATAATGCTATCCATGTATTCATGCATGGTGGGCGGAAAAGGCACCATAAAAGCTCTCTAGGGTGGGGATCCTTGACAGTTCTGTTTGACGATTCATTTGACACATTTGAATTTGATTTGAAATTTTGTGGATTTGTCAGTCTTTATGGAGCTTATTTTATGTTATTTATTATTTATTCTACTACTGATAGTTGTATAAAGGTAGTAAATCAAGATGGAAATTGTGGCAGAACTTAAATTAACAGTGACACTATCGCGATTTATCGAAAAAGACTCTAAAATAGTTGGTTGTGTAGCGTGCGGTAGATCTCGGTAAAAATTGAGTGAAATAATGGGAACAACTTTTCGCTAGTAAGTGACTATATAATATACATACGTGTAGTAAATCCTATCATTTATGAAATTCACTTAAATTAACTAAATTATATATTTTTCTTGCATTTTAGCTTTTATTTATTACTTGTCAAAGATTAGATGTCAAAGAATTTAGATACGTTAATTTGACTTACCTGCTTCAGTAGCGTATCGGATGTTTGTGTTAATAAATACTTATTATAACTTATCTATTTTTATTAGAATTATATATTTTTATAACAATTTTAATAACTACCAACATTTATTCACAACGTAAAATAAAACAACAAATTATTGAGTCTACCCCACGTCTACCCTACATCATAGTTTTACATTTTTTAAATAAAATTAGAACGACACTGATAAACCGGAATTTAAGTCGGCCATATTTGAGGCCCATCGCGGTGTACCTAAGATGTTTGATATGCTCCTTCCTTAGTCTTCTTATTCAAAGATCGTTCCGTAAAACCAATAAAATTGAAATATGATCTGTCATTTTTGAAGTAAACCAATAAAACTGGTTAAAAACAACAAGAGACGATATTAACTTAAAAAATATTAGAAACTTTTTTTAGAAAAATAAATAGATTGGCATGGGACTTCATCTGCTTTTCTTCTTGTCATCGTCTGTCGAAATCTTCCCTAAGAAAAAAAACAGAGTATATACGACCCGCTCAGAGTTAATCTCAGCACAGCAGGATACAGCCGTAGAAGGATGTATACCCCATAGACAAACCTTAGACAAACAAATATAAAGAGACTGACAAATCTCATGGTAAAGAGTGGGACCGCGTTACTCTCAGAATAACAATTTTGAAACCAATTAGCAGGACCGTGGCAGGACGTACGTCTTTATTGCTATCTTTCTTTATTATGTGTGCTTTATATGAAAAAGAAAGAAATAGGTATAAAAAGTATCGTATGACATTATCGCACATTCTGGCTGGCGGAAAATTTAAATTAGCCATTATTAGTAGTATTTTTTCATTCTGAAACTGAAAATTTTCACTCAAACTGATTTATTCCCTATACCACGTAAAGGGAACGTGGTGTTGGGAATAAATCAGTTTAGGTGAAAATTTGCAGTTTCTTTCAGAACGAAAGAATACTACTATTATAAGGGAAATTATAAAAAAAAGCAAAAATTGTACTGTTCTATAAACATATTTATTTATACATAAAAATAAATAAACTTTTTATAATATAATAACAAAAAATAACAGTGTTTATCCCACCCACCTACCAATTTTAAATGCAGAGGAACTGACTGTTGCAGGAAACGATCGGCCAATTTTTTTAAAGGGCATTAAAAATGTCATTTTCGAAAAAACTTGACGAGAATCATGATCCTGAACCATTTTCAAGTCCAGTTTTAATCCTAAAACAAAAGTAAAATAGGTATATTAATAAAGTTTCTAGTTACTATAAACCAGCTATAAACTACCTACTCAAAAGAGGGGTAAATATTTTTAACACTACTACTTCTACTTTTTTCTTAATAAGATGATAAATATAACTACTTACTTTTATTCTACCGGGTGTCTTTAACATATCTATCAGAGAAAGGGGGCACCAATACATATAAAAAATAGATGATACTGGCTCCTGCAGCAAATAAAATAACAAATAGTATAACCTAAAATTATAAGTAACAAAATATAAATACCTATATGGAACAAAGGAATTTGTTCCCTGTCCATATTCATAAGTCAATAAAATGGAGAGTTTAGAAAAAAAGGTAAATCACCAAAAGAAAAATTAACAAATGACAATTCGCCATGATGTTGTCATCTTGGTTGTCATGATGACGAAAACGAAAGGCGATTGTTCTAATTTCTATTTAGAAATTACGTTTTATATGGCTGCTTCTTTCTTTCTTGTTATATTAGAATGAGATAGTGGGCCCAATAGGCGCAATGCGCAGATTAACATAAATAGAACGAAATTTTGCGTTCTGAGTTGCGCTACGGGAACGTGTGTGTACCCTCTCTTTGCCATTTAATTTGCCAGTCTCTTTTTACTTGTTTGTCAATGGTATACCCTCAGAGGAGGTAGATGTCCACTCCTTGGAGGAAGAACATCTGTTGTCAGAGGAGGATGGGAAATACCCTGTCCCCTCTACAACTGGAAGATCCCCATGTTTGATGAGTTATAACTCAAGAAGGAGAGACACAATAGATCTTTAAGGTTGTCTTCCTAATTCTACATTATACATTCTCATTGCTCATCGCTCCTCTGTATAAATAATTAAAAAAATATTTACAGGAAAAATTTGATAGAAATTGTTGTAAACAACGAAGAAATGTTGGACCAGATTAATGAGCAGATAAAGGACACATTCCATGAACTCTCAGGACTTCTACAGAAATTTATAGATTGTGGGAAAACCGAGCGTTACGAAGAACAAGCCGAAGTTTATTTACTTCTGAAACAATTAATCGACAAAATATATTGCGCAAATTCTCCACTTTTAATAGAAACTTTAAAAGTGTTCGAATCTGTTGACATAAACTTGCACAACCCCGTTCAAATTCGTGAAGAAAAAAATACGCAGTTAAAAAATGTGAAAATTTGTAAGGTTACACCTTTTAAACACCAGTCAACCAGAAGGTTTGGGTATTTCAAAGTAACTGTCATGGCAACTGTCACCATAGGTTTTATATGGTGGTTAATAAAGAAAAGGCAACCTCCTCCTCTGACTTCTACCCATCATTATTTAAATCTAGATGATTTAGTCGACAGATTAGAACATTTTATTTTTAGTTGATATCGTAGATATTGGGCGCGTTCATAGGGCACAACAGCTGAATTCCAGGGAATATTTGACATTGACAATCCCTGAACATGCCCATTAGTTAGCATTTAGTTATTAGCATAGATAAATGAAACAAGTTTAGATTGGAAAGTGCCCGTAAGACCATTGTAAACACTATTTGGCGCTATTCTTGCAACGGTCGTGATCCAAAGCTTTTGAAAATTTCAGAGCGGTTCGACTTTTTCCGAAATTATATCGCAATATTGTTTATTCAAATTTATTATTATTTTCTTTTAATTTTATAAATAAAATACAGTGTGTTGCATACAAGAAACTTTATTTTATATAAGGACATATATGAAATACCTACGAAACATTGGAAACCGACGTTATGCCACGAGCCACAAGGGTTTTGCAGTTCACACAGCTTTTTAAGTTTTTAATGCCACTTTTTCGCAATTATCACGGGTTTGAGTAAATAAAACTTAAATTAAACTCACAAGATAGGAATAGTTACTTTGAAAAGAGACGCTTTAAACACTTTTCGGAATTTTTTCAATGAAAGCGGTTTAGATTTATTAGAAAGATCTTATAATTTTTGAAGATTCTGACTTTGACAGTAGATATGGACAAGAGAAAATTATTTTTGTTTTTGTTAGCAGCGCCAGATTGCGTACAACAGTCGCGACCCAAAACAATTTTGCGACCTAAAATTTTGACGGGCATTCCATTCTAAATTTATTTCCTTTATCTATGGTTGTTAGGGTATTTTTAAGCGACTTTTGTTTATTTACATTTATTTACTTTTGTTTGTTTTTTTTTATTGTATTTACATGTATTTATTATTAATATTTTTGATGTTTAATTTTTGTCATACTTAATTGCGTTTTTTATTATTTTATCAAATTAAATGACAAATCAAAATAATTACCGTGATGTCAGGATAGCCAAAATTAAATTTAGGTATCTACATATTTTTTAAATGTTAATATAAATTTCCTGTTAATGTAAATATAAATTTTGTTACCAATTGTTGATATCAGTATATTATTAATTTATTGTAAGTACAGATGAGACTAAAACCACTTAAAATAACACGGCTTATTTTCAGAATAACTAGAAACAAAAAAAGATTTAACCAATTTTGTAGTATTCTTTTTACCCATCCATTACAATTTAGAAGTTTTCGAATACAGATCTATTAAAAAGTGATATGTTTTGAATACTGTGCAATTTAATGACTTCAGTCTTTATCTATGGCAGAATAAAGATTTAAATCCTTAGAACTTATAAACTTCGTTTAAATCACAAACCATTTTGAAAATTACTTACATTTTAAGTCAGATTTCGAAAAATGACCTAAAATCTAGACTTAAGTCGTTTTAAATAATTTTTTAAATCAAAAAAGACTTATGTACTCACTAAAAAGCGACCCGTCTATTCAAATTTTTCCTTTAGCGCGTTTAATTGGTTACAGCGCCATTCTTATTTAGTGGGAATATTTGGAACTATTGTCTAAACGATTATGGCGCCACCGTACGGAAAGTTCTAAAAGTAAGTGAATATAGGTTTCTGTTTTTAGTATGTATGGGTGGCGCCATCAAGTATTAAATATATAAGCTAGCCATTTATAGATTTCTATTAAAAAAACTGATACTATCTAACGTTAAGTAGTTAAACTTCGGGTAAAATTTTCCTAGAACTTTAAAGAAATCTATAATTTATTCAGTGTGAGTTATCTATGAAATGAATAAAATTTGGTACATGCTGTTTTCTTTAAGATCTGTGGCCGGTGGTTTAATGTTGTTTATTTATGGTTGTTTATGTTTAAATTTTAGGTTATTTTTCGTTTTAACACCGATATTTTTATAGTTTAATTATTATAATTGATTATATAAAGCCGTGAAAATATTCAACTTAATTGCTAATTAAGTGGATAGATAGGTCTGAGCTTAGATATCTGATGCGGTTATTTGATTTAATTCATAAAATGACAATAAACCCAGGTGTTCCTTTGTGTTGATATCCTACCAAAGTATGGTGAGTACCTATTTTAGATATTCAAATTAACATCCATATTTAGCCACCTTAATCTATATTTAAGAAGATAGTTGGAAATTTGAGAATAATAATTACAAAATAATTTCTGAGGAATCTATTTAGCAATATCCTTGTTTATTTAAGAATACCAGATACCAGCTCTTCCCTCGATTTCGTCCGCGTGTACTCGAATCGGTATACCCTAGAATCTAATTTATATTATTCTCTTTATTAATTTTACTTAACAATGCTTGGGGCAAAATTTCCTTTTAGCACATATTTTCCAAATTTTTATATAAACATTTTCCTCTAATTTCACCCGTTGGGGAATGAATGGCTAAAAAACGTTTCTCAATGCTAAATTACTACTTAAGGAACCTTTGTGCAAAATTTCATACTGCTAGAAGAAATTTTAAAAGTGTTTATACTAACCTTCACCCCCTTAAGGTGTAAATTTCCAAAAATCGTTACTTAATGCTTAATTTCGTCATTTAAGGAATGTCTGGGCAAAATTGTATACTGCTAGAACAGGTACTTAGGGCACAAATCGTTTCTTAGCGTTCAATTACGTCACTTACGGAACCTCTGTGCAAAATTTCATGACTCTGGAATCAATTTTAACACATTTTTGTACAAGCTTTCATCCCTCTGGAGATGAAGTTTCACCAATAGCTTCTTCTTGCTTAATTGTGTTACTTAAGTAACCTCTGAGCAAATTTAACTAATATCGGTGCCTGGAGCTGAATTTTTATGAAAAACATGATGGTGAAAACCGCAAATCGATATCTGTTACCGTTTCGGAATTACGGGGTATTTTTTCAAAAATGTGCCTTTTTAACAAATCACTGTAACTTTTTTGCTATGGAAAATTTTGTATTTTTATGAAAACATTTCCACAGCACCTTTTCACGCCGACCAAGACTTTTTTATATTTTTTAAATGGAAACACCCTTTTCTATAGGAGATAGACAAAAACTAATATCGGTGTCTGGAGCTAAATTTTTGTCAAAAACATGATGGTGAAAACCGCATATCGATATTTGTTACCGTTTCGGAGTTACGCACCTTTTAATGGTTTAAGTATAATTTTTTTAAAATTAATAATTTAAGAATTATCAACAGAAAATTTGATTTTTTATATGGGACACCCTGTATATTTTTAATTTATTGAAAATAATTTAAAATTATCTTTCCAAAAATATAACACACTTGATATTTTGCTCAATTCCTCTTCGAGATATAGAGTATATAAAAATTCGCCCGCTTTAAATAAGTAGGCTTTGAAGGGCACCGGCTGTAATGCAAAAAAATTCTAGCTGTGAGCATTAAGCATCAAAAAACGAAAATAATATTTGCTATGAGAGATGCAGAATTTTATAACAATTTAAAATATATTTAACCAACATCAACACATTTAAACTATGTCTAATAACAATAAAAACAAATAGCAAACCAAGACATGAGAGTTTGCTACAGGTGTTCGGTGTTCGACATATCGACCGTCTTCTGTTATGGTCAGACGGGGCAGTTTTTGAACATTTCTCGCGGAATTCATTTACTCATTGGAGGCGAAAGATACCTTCTCATAACTGCCAAGTATTTTTAATTCTTGTCTAGAATAAGGAACCTTTATTCTTCCGCAAATATATCCATAGGATTAGATCCATGGGTACTAAGTCAGGCGGCCTCGACGGCCAACGGCTGGGATCTTGGTTAGCTATCTCGCTAGCTATTATTCTTGAAATTGGCTGCAAAAATTTGCTGACAACTTCAGCGTTCAGAGGCGGTGCGTCGTCTTGCTGGAAAAATATGTTTTCGAGTTCCATTAGGGGCATATCATCAATAAGGGGTCCAAAGCCTACTAGTTAAAAGTAGCGAACTTTTAAAAATTCTGTATTTCGAAGGGGATTAGAACAAAATATCAAGTGTGCTATATTTTTGGAAAGGTAATTTTAAATTCTTTTCAGTTAATTAAAAATATAAAGGGTGTCCGAAATAAAAAATCAATTTTTTTGTTGATAACTCTTAAATTATTAATTTAAAAAAATATATACTTAAGCCATTACATTCTACGTAAAAAGGTGCTTTGGAAATGTTTTCATAGAAATACAAAATTTTCCATAGCAAAAAAGTTACAGCTATTTGTTAAAAATGCACATTTTTGAAAAACACCCCGTAACTCCGAAACGGTAGCAGATATTGATGTGCGGTTTTCACCATCATGTTTTTGATGAAAATTGAGCTCAGACACCGATACTAGTTTTCGTCTATCTCCTATAGAAAAGGGTGTTTCCATTTAAAAGCGTCGAATTTGACCCACCCTGTACAGTTTGCAGATAATAATCCCAGTGAAATATACAAGATATATTCCTAAGTAGAAGATATAGGACCATGACACTTCGATAGATCAGATGCTGTTGTTATCGAACCTGTGGGTGATTTCAATATCAACACAGCAGAATTAGCATTAATTATTAGAAATTCATCGAAAAATATAAATAACTTTAAATATAATCAAGAAAGGCAGGAAGAAACCATGTCAGATTCTGAGGAAGGTATTGCATAATGTCCAAAAACACTTACAATTTTTTTTATTTATTACATTTTTGTAGAACTAGTTCTAGCACCAATAGTAGCGGAATCAACACGTACACTGGCGCTACGGGCGATACGGGCGCTACCGAATTATTGTCATATGTGCGAAGTTATTTTAAGATCACAAGGTCCTGCTAAATCTCATTATAAGTCCAAGAGCCACAGAAACAAGACTGTAGAGTTCCTAAAAAGTACACAAGGTAGGTACACTATAATATTTCTAAATAAGCTACTAATTTTTATTATTACACTTTATGTAGATCTAGACGAGATAGTTAAGAAAAAACTAGAGAAATTGACAAAATCGGTACATTGTTATATATGCAAAATTTATTTATTATCGCCACACACTGCTACAGCTCATTATGAATCAGAAAGGCATAAAAGTAATATTGCGGCTTATAGAGATGATATTATAAATGACCTAAGAAGTAAACAGAAAGCTGTCGAGGATAAAAGGTCAGTACCTAGCTTTGAATAAGAAGACTAAGGAAGGAGCATATCAAAAATCTTAGGTACACCGCGATGGGCCTCAAATATGGCCGACTTAAATTCCGGTTTATCAGTGTCGTTCTAATTTTATTTAAAAAATGTAAAACTATGATGTAGGGTAGACGTGGGGTAGACTCAATAATTTGTTGTTTTATTTTACGTTGTGAATAAATGTTGGTAGTTATTAAAAT